CGATATGGCGCCTCGGCTTCCTCCTACAGCTCGAGGATAATCGCCTTAGACAGCATTGGAAGTCCATCAGAAAGCTCTCTCGAGTGCTCCGGCACATCCACCGCCATCTCCGCGATGGCAAGACTCCCGGCGCCCACGCACAAGAGTGGGTTGCCTACCTCCAGACAGTAACACCAGCCTACCAACAAGCTGTCGAAACTGCGATTCTGGCGATCCCTTGACGAGGGAGAGGGTGGAATGGAGGAAAGGATGGGAGACTTGTGAAAAGGGTTGAGGTTGAACAGTGCGGAATTCGAGGGCAGGGTAGCGTCTACATGTACTGCGGCAATCCTCTAGTAATGCAAAACGATGGAGTTAAACAGTGTTCCACGAACCTCAAGTCACACTGTCTAGCCTGGGTACCTACATCTAGGATGGTGTTTGTTTCCTTCTAAGAGGAGGGGGCGTGCAAGTCTCAGGTGGTTGGTTTGAGCGGTGGTTTGCATCCAACAGGGAGAAGAAATATGGCAAGGCTGGGAATTCAGGGTGGCCGGCTGGTCGGTTGGAGAGATGGACAGGGAGGATGAGAGTGATGTGTGTGTTGGGTTGTACTGTAGGGATCTGGTGTCTGGTGTCTGGCGTGAACGTGTGAACCTGGGATGCGCGGATACCTACACACATACAATTGTGCATGTTCCAAATTGGGGTTCATTCATGTCGGGCCTCAGCGCTAATCTCACCAATCAGCGGCGCGGGTGGTGTGCATGGCGCCGGCAGTCTCAAGTGATACCACGTTTTCCCCCCTCTTGGCTTGGTTTGTTGCTTACTTTAGGTGTGCCGTGATATACACGATGAACAGCTTGCTCTGAAGGTTGGTTACAATGGGCGTTTCTTTCTTGGGCGCGTCTACGTCGTTGTCGATCGGGGGCTGAGAATGTGAATAGACACATGAGGTCTCGGCACGGTTACGCTGAACACTGTGACTGACAATCTACTACTGGTACTAAGTAAGCAGTGCCTAGTGAGGAGGTACACGAGGTGCGTGAAAGTGCAAGGTACTCCCGTGAGCAGGCTACGACCCAATGTGACGGTGGCACGGGTGGCTTGCGTTTACCTACTGCCTACTTTAGCGAATGATACGATGGCCGCGTTTGGCGTTTCGTGTGATTCGAGAAGGAAGTTTACAATCTTGGATCGGGGCTTGGGGGGGATCGGCGGTGCGGGAGGAGTTGGGGGCCAAGATGGGCCGCCGCCAAAGGGGCCCGTTGGTAGCCTTACGAGGCGGAGATTTTGGAATACGTGATACCACGCAGAGGCGCGGGTGAGTGAGGGATGAGTGAATTCTTCATGTGAGATCAGCTTTTGAGATGAGGTTGTGAGATGAGATTCATGTGAGAGGTCAGGTGAGAGGCGGGAATGGCAGTCATGTAACCATCCGTGTCTGAGATGACGGACGGCTGACGATCGCGAATGGGACCTGTGAAGGATGCCGCTCTTCCCGCTCCAGAGCCAGTAGAATCCATTTCAAAGTGTTTGGATCGTTGGTTCATCGCCCTTGCGAGTGTCTGATGTCTCTGATGCGCCCTTGCAACGGTGGTGGTTGCTCACATGAGGCTGAAGAGTTGCGGAGAGACAGTGGCCAGCGCGCTATGGATCCCTTGATTCTTGCTCCCTGTGACTGATGAAGAACTGTCATCCGCAGGCGTCCTTCTAAATCCTCGGCGACTCAATTCCAAGTTGGCCATGATGCCGGATCTGGGATGTTTCTGAATTCTTGAAAACCTGAGCGATGATGGGGTTACCCCGGCGGTTCGGAACCTCTTGGGGGAGGTTAAAGTTGCAGTGAAAAGAATAAGACAGAGGTCAAAAATTAATTCCTACTCTGGCCTAGTCGGCTTTCTCATGAAAACCCGTCCAACCAGAGGTACGGAATGCTCCTAGTTCAGCAGTCGGCTCAGATCCTCAGGGAGTGTTAAAATCGCAGTGAAGCTCCACCGTACATGATTAGCTTCCGAACCAATACCCCAAGGATGGTCAAGCTGGCGCCCTCCAACTTGGGGTGCAGAACTTCCACGCCTCTCTAAGCCGGAAGCGAACAACAGTACAGAGACTCGACATCTTACCTTAGTTGTAGTCATGCAGAGTTCTCTACAGAAAGAGTTAATTAAACCTCTTCAAGTTTGAATACAATGAATTCCCAGACTTGGAACCTATGTTGGTCGTAAGGTTGGGTCAGCCTCGCCTGATCGCATCTTTCTTGGGGCGGGTCAGGATTGCAGTGAAGCGATGGCTACGCCACCTGGATGCGGGACATGCACCGAACCGCGCTTGGCTGGGTTCCATAGAGATCGAGCGATCCTTGAGCATCCGGGGGTTAAGGTCGAATTGAAGCAAGACTTCGTATCTCGAACCGCCGGGAGGATGAAGACTGCATCAAAGATGATGATTGAGTAGTGTCTGACTGAGCAGGGAGTTGATGAGGCCTAGAGCCTTGGGAGTGTATGAGAGTCCCAAGTATTGAGGGAAGTCAACATCTCAGTGAACAGGTGAGTCTTCTGGTCACTGGAATCCTGCAGGGAACCTAAGGGGTCCATCACCTTGAAGGGGGAGTAGTGAAGTGAACTGAAGTGAAGTGAAGAGGCCCGCATACTCGCCAACGGACATGTCAAACCAGATGGCGGGGTTGGCGTCGATGGCCCACGACAAGACCCGTCCGGACCCGTCAAAGGGAGACAACCATGCGGTTGACACAGAGGAGGGCAGCTGCAATTGAGGGGTGGATTTGCAAGGTGAAGGAAGCGGAGGATGCGAGGATGTTTCCCGTCCAGCCTTTTCTGGCCAGATCGTCCGTTTCTGTCAATCTCGAATTGCTTCCTTCATACACGCCTCTGTTATGAGAGTCCAATAATTGCCGGAAGTCTGTCATCCAAAGGAAGCAGTGAGAGACATCGCGTCTTGCTCAGCCTCTGTTACACATCAACCTCCGAGATTGGCCTGAATAAGCTGACCACTGCTTTACCTTGCACCACAGGAAGCCATTGATTTCAGCCCAGTGGTGAACGGACAGTCTCACTGGTACTACCCAATAGACAGCGAGATTAGCAGAAAATCACACAGTTGGTGCCATCGACAAGCCTCCCGACTGGCTCTCACCAGCATCCAACAATTCACAAAGCACCAACCGCGAATGCATGTATGTGGTGGTGTAAACGCACCAGTATGCACAGCGCGGCACAGCCAACGACGCATCGGCAGCTCGTTATTTTTGGGAATTCGAGAGACACCTCCTTCAGCCCTCAGTAACCCATCCAAATTGGAAGCCTGCGTCATTTCTCACAGCGAACCCTCCAACTTTCAACCTGCGCGTCTGCAAACTAGAGAATGCAACCCACCACACCCCCGGGAACCCAGGCAAGGGTAGCCCATGGGAGGAAGAGAGAGCCAGTGTCGGTACGAAGCAGTGCTGTGTCGGCCCGTTCCAACCTGGGACCGTTCGTCGCGACTCCCGTCTTCCTCTTTTTACCTTGTTTTAGCGACCTGTCACTGGTCATTAATCAGCACGAGTGGGAAAAGTCGCCTTTGCCCGGCCAGTCATCCTCCATCATCGACCATCATCCTCCATCAACCAGCTGCACACTCCCCCTCCCTCTGCCCACGTTTCCCTTGCTCTGCCGTTGCCCTTTTGAGATTCCGATGAGAGAGCCAGAGGGCGTGCTCCGGTCAAAAGTTGAATCAAACAGTTCTGGGCGTTGCTTGCCTGTTTGTCGTACGAAACTCCGCCTGTACAGCGGACCGTCTACTTCCCTTGAGCACATTGTCCGATGTCTGGAATGAACTGACGATGCGCGTGACAATGTGTCTAGGTATCTCAGTCACGACTCCTGTCCCCGCGGCTGTCGCGTCGCTGGGTGTACCTAATCTCACGCTATCATAGCGGACGGATGTGCTGACACATGGCTGTTCACTGCGTCTTTTTTTCTCTTCCCTACCCGCCGGGATACCACGGATGGCGTCTGCACGCAACCAACAAGGAGGAGGGGTTTTGAGACGACGAACAAACGATAGCCGGGAGGGGAAAAAGGCTAGAGAGACCCAAAGACCCTCACCCTAGGCTGCTAGTATGCGCGGGAGGGGCGGCCGTTGCGGAGACTTTGTCCCATCATCATCATTCCTGCGAATACGCAACACGGTTGCACTCTCTCGCCTGCGTCTCTCGGTCTTCAGCAACAGCTGTGATGCGGTGCAGCAGCGGCCGCGTCTGTCTCCTGTTGCTGCACAGTTATGGATCCCCCTTGGAGTTTGACTCCATCCATTCTAGCCGCAGTCTGCGATGATGCCTCGCGCTGCTATGGCATGCGCTGCACAACGTAATGAAGGCCCCTCAACCCTGTTTCTCGCCCGCGCACCGCAGTATCACCAGCAGTTCGTCTCGAAAAGACCACTTCCTATAGTATCAACTATGCCATACTCGCAGATATCTTCACTGGTCATCCACGCTGAGAAAATGCACGCCATGTCCGGCCGATCCGGCAAAGACCATGTTCTTCTTCTTCATTCCCCTCATCCTTCACCCCCATGTCCATGACCCGTTAAACCCGGGCGACTCCATTCCGCAACGTGCTCCCCACGCCGAAAACCGCCTCTGCACTGCATGTGCCTAAAACGACAGCGGGCCACATGGGAAGGCCAGACGAACCCGGCCAATGACGATGCTTCAGACCCCATGAAAGGGGGACCCGTTGAAGAGGGGGGCGTGAAGAAATTCAAATGTACCTCATCGACAGGGGGATGGCTGTACACTATTCCGTACCGCCGCCGTGCCGTAGCCTACACGCCCTGGTCTGCTTTACCCCGCGCCTGCATTTCCGCCTTCGTCTGCTTGGTCCATAACCGCCGTGGCATCGTCGGCATACTTTGGCCAGCACAGTGCGTTGCGTCGTGGACGATGTTCTGCCCGGCGAAGAACGGCGAGTGATGTTCAGCTTCGGGGGCCGAGGGATCGTAGGTGTTGCGGCCGTTCAAGGTGTAGGATCTTGCTGCCTTGGTACGGGCCACGGCCACGAGTGGCCCGGCCGGCCTGTGAATTGGCCCCCCCTCTTCCTCCCGGCGGCGAGTGCCGTATGCCATGCGACGTTGATCGATGCGGCAGCGATTCCTTCCCTTGCCGTTGCGGAGGTCTCACCCACGGCTAGGACACGGCCGGCCGAGATGAGGTTTTCCACGGCACGCACTGGGTTGGCTCCTGTCTCTACACACCTCACAATGACTCGATGCTTCGAAAATAGTAGATATGATGGACGTGGCTGGGAGGTTATAGCTGGATATGGGAACGAGTCTTCGTTAGTGGTATCTCTAATCCTCTAGCTGAACACCAGTCGTCACCGGCGGCATTCCGTATCGATGCTAGAGTATGACGCCGTCTTCACCCGCTCGGTCCTCGACTATGGAAATCCCCCGGCTCCATCGTCGGCGTCGATTTCTCCCAGCCACTGCCAGCAACACCCAACGCGGACTCAGTACTTCGAGCAGTAAGTAGTCCCTAGTAGGTATCCGTAAATCAACCATCCCATTGACGAATCAACTCAACCCGCCGCTTTCTACTCTACTTCCACACGCTCGAACTCTCGGCCCCAGCCTTCTTCCCCTCCTGATACGTCTCACTCAACGCGTTGTACAACCCTTTAACGCGCTCCATCTCCTCCTGCCAATGAGCCCTCTCTCCCTCATCCTTGATCTCCTCCACCAACGCCCCCAAACTCCGCGCCGTGAAGAACTGGTTAGTCCGGTTATACAGCTCCCGTCTCCCCAACGCACTCTTGTCCTCCCCCTCGGCCGGCACGCGAAAGACCTGCTGCAAGATATTGATATCGTGCGGAATCGCAAACAGGTCGCGGCTGTCCTCGTACGTGAAGAGGTAATACACCTCCCGGAAGCCAGACCAGGCGATGCCCGACAAACAAAGGGAGCAGGGCTCGTGGGTTGCGAAGAAGACGCAGTCGGTGCGCGGGGAGGGGCGGGTGGAGGGGTCGGGGAAGTCGCGCGTGAAGAAGGTTTGGATGCAGTTTATTTCGCCGTGGAGGAGGGGGGAGGTGCGTTCGTCGTTTGTGGAGACTGTGTAGGGGGTGAGGGCGTCGTCAGAGGAGAGGATGGCGGCGCCGAAGAGTTTTGAGCCGGAGGAGACGCCGCGGGCTGTTAGGGGCACGATGCGGGTTTCTGTGAGGGTGAGGAGGGAGGCGAGGACGGTTTTTGGGTCGCGGGTTGGGAGGGGGGGTTCTGTGGACATTGTGTTGGTGATGCCTTGTCTGAGTCCTTTGATGTTGTGTGGTGGAGTTGGATTGAGTGATCTTGAGATGTGTGTGAAGTATGATGTGATGTCAATTGCCGGTCGTCGAAGTTTTGTTGGTGTTGATATGGTGATGTGGAACTGGGATGGGCCCGCGACTTTATCAACCCCGCGACGCTTATCGTAAGTCTCCAGATGCTATCCGTACCGCATGTCTAACGTACCTCGAGTAAAGACCTACCCAATTAACGTTTATGAGTGGACGCCGACCTCCTACCATCGGAGGCGTCCGTAGCGCGGGATGGCGGGATGGGGGTTCTACTGTTTCCGGTCGCGGCGAGTTGGGGCGGCGACCTCCGATATCTGCGGTGTTTTTAGAGTCGGAGGTGGGAGATGTGCCGAACGCCAGGCTGTTAATGCGTTTCTTTCGGCTTTGAATGTAAAAATGGAAATGTAAGTAATAAGCGGCGTGAATTGGGGATGACGTGGAAATATCCGCATCTACTTTGCTAAGAAATGTTGGACTTCGGTCGAGAACCAGGCCTGGAGGATGGCCAAGCCCGGAAGCTGGGCCCACTTATCGCCGGTCTCCGATCGGAGGTTGCGGAGAGATCTACCATACGTTAATTTTCCTCGAGCAGAGCAATATAATCGACAACTTGGGCCCGGGGAATAGGGTTTGCGACCGAAGACAGTGACTATACGCTGATCCTTTAGTCGCATAATCGACAGCGTCCTGGATTTTCTGCAGATCGAGTTGAGAAAAAGACACCAGCATCTCCGCGAATGTCACGATGCATCAAGAGCACTAGGAACCGCACCCCACCTGCCTACACTCGCCATCTCACTCGGCGTATTCCGCATGGGATATTCCAGAGAAGATCTTGGGTCTTGGGGCTTGGTAATACAATTTACTCCCCTGAAACTTTGAGACGATCTTGACGGGCGATCCAGTGACATCAACGGGAGCAAGTATGGAAACCACATAAGCAACGACCCGCCTATAGGGTGTGCGCTTGCGTCGAGATGAAGAGAACAGGTGGTTGCGAATGATTGTTTGTGAAGCTCTCGGCAGTTTTAAAGGAGGACCCTTTAGAAGTGCTGACCTATCGTACGGAGAATATCCTGGTCCAAGTGATGACCTCTGAGTCCGCTGCATTGAAAGATGGAAAATCTGTTCATCAGGCTTGTAACAGAGCTAAGCTACCTTGTATAAGAGAGGAGAGTTTAGGTTGCTGTGTTGACTTCGGCGCTAACACTAATCGCCTTGCGAGCTCAACGATATCATCTAGGTCCAGACCCAGGTTTGACTTGCGCCTGCGTAGATATGAACACCTCAAAGTCGATTCGGACTGTATGCTTCTCGCGATCCCCGATAGTTATGTCAAACAAGCGAGCATCGAAGCTTTAAGTAACCTATCTCTTTCCGCTCGCTCTCCAATCCGAGGTATTTCACACGGAATATTCAATGTAGGGGACGGGATAGATGACTGAATAAGATGTATTACCTTGGGTCACATCTTCATTTCAGGGTAGTGACGATAGACTGTTGCGTGCATATCAATCCTGACCCAATAAGCAACTTGCTGTAGCTGACAGAGCATCTTCCGGAGCATTCCTGCTGGCACTAGACACTGAAACAGGCTGATGAGCATAGAACCTTATACTGAGCTCCCGGTGGCTTGAAAGGCAGACGCTTCCGGCTGGGCAAGTCCGTCTCTGTCTCGAGGCGCCTAATTGGTGAGGTTTTTGGTGTTAGACGTTGAATGAGTTCATCGTAGTACTGAATCAATTCATATGTGGTATTTCATCGGCGATTCTTGTCTCAAATCTTTTTTGATTTCTTGCCAGACGCACTTTCCCTTATCCATGCACCTCTCTCGCGTAGTCGCCGGAGCCATCAACTTCGATTAATATTGAAACCTGACCACTCAATTGACGGCTCTCAACTCTGGTATCTTTTCTCGTAGCCGGCGAAGTGAATTTCAGAAGGATTACCCATGTCTCCAGAGGCGGGTACTAAGTAGCACATTGGTTTAGCTAGTGTTGTTGATGATCCAGCAGATCTTTTACGACGCGTCATACACATTTAGTGGCCAGCACATTAAACCATCTCACTCATAGCTATCTATTAACTCTTTTCATAGTAGTTGAATGAAGTCTGTAGAGTTATCGACGAGCAATGCCATCAAACTCGGGGGCGGAAGGAGGTGCGTGAGCTAGTGACCCGCTTTATTCATAAAAGAAGAGCCCCCACTGGTCAAAACTGAATGACTAAGCGGTTTCTCAGTTTTCGTCCCTCACCCGCGAGCATACTCACGCCGCCGTCTCATCGACGACACTCAACGACGCCCTCAAAACCGTGTGAGTCTTTAGAAACTCAGACTCGGTTTTCACACTAACGACTCAATGCATTACATACGGCTCCTACGAGCACCAACGCTCACACGCGAAGACAACAGGAAACACCCCTGGTCCCTCAACGTCGTCTTCACAATCACAACCGACCTCGGCGACTCTTTCCTCACACCAGAAGACAATGACCCCGTCAAGATCAAAGTCTCCGCCGGGTGGGAGCATCAGGATCGGAAGCAACAACAGAATGAGGAATCATCAAGGAAGCAGAACAGTGAACCCATGACGCTAGCTGCTGAGAAGGTCCTGCGCTGGACACCAGGCATGCGCGTCCTCAAAGCCGACATCCCAGCCCAACACCTCCCGGGGCGGGGACCCCTCCCCAACACCAACGGTCTCGGTCCGCTGAAGGTACGCATACGCGCCGAGGGTGATAAGTCAGCCGACACGGCGATGAGCGTGAGCATCGCGGGGTTCGAGGGCGAGTGCGGCAAGATCCTGCCCCTCTGGGCAGACGTGCAGACACCAGGCTCCGAAGGGCCGACGACCTGCGTCCGGAGACTCAACCACGGAGATCGCCCCTCGGAGCCAGTGCTTGAGATTGAGGAGGATATTGGGGAGAGTATCGCGCGGCATATCTGGGATGCCGGGTTGATGGCCGTGGCTGGGCTGTGGCAGGTCAGCACGCGCGAGAGCTTCGCTGCGGAGAAGCACCCGTGGCGCATGAAGAAGTTTCACAGCCTTCTCTTCGGGGATGAGCCGGTGAATATCCTCGAGCTCGGATGCGGTGTCGGTATCCTGGGCAACGGGCTGGCGCAGCTCTTGTCGGATGCGGATCCCAAGGGCGAGGGTGCCATCCTCATGACGGATTTGCCCGAGGCCGAGCACCGCGCCTGCGCGAATATTGAGAGGCTCGTGGCAAATGGGGCGGCGAGGGTTCACCCGCGGTATGAGAACCTCGACTGGGACGACGGTCGGAAGGGGGCGTTTGGGCCGCTGGTCGAGGCCAAGACGTGGGACGTCATTGTCATGAGCGATTGCACGTACAACGTGGACTCGCTGCCTTCTCTGGTAAATACATGGACGGCGGTCCACGTGCATAACATCTCGAAGAGCGCGAATGAGAGTGCGCAGACGTGGGTGTACATTGCGTGGAAGAAGCGGCATCCGGATGAGAATGAGTTCTGGAAGCAGGTTGACAGCCAGGGGTGGACTCTACACGAGGAAGATGTTGTTGAGTTGCCAGTGCTCGGCGGCGAGACGGAGAGAATCTTTACGTATCTATTCAGTATGAAGTCTAGGAAGTTCGAGCTGGATGAGGAGAAGGGAGTCTGGAAGTGCTCATAGTCGCGAGCATCAGACCGCCTCGAAAAATGTTCCTCATTTGCCGACGCAAAGGAGACATGTCCAACGATGAGAAGAGGCCGGTAGGCTGTGGAGAAGGGATGAGAGCGACCGCCACATTTGGGCCGGTATCCCACACACTCAACACAGGCATAGACACCGCCGTTGTTCTGGGTTGCCGGCTCCATGTTGAATTGCAATCATCCGGTCATTTATCGACAATTTCCAGCCCTCCCGGAAATCTACATCAATGTAGCTGGTTCCTTTACGCGTCGGAGATCATCAAACGGCACGGCAGGGATGCACAGACTTAGTGGAGGCATTCCGGCGACGGCTGCAGCAAGTCTGGAAAGACATAGGAATGAAAGGTCGCTTTCTATTGGCACGAGTCTGTCATGGAACGACACGCTACTGCATTGCTGCACCCATTCTTTCGGTGGATGTAGCCCTGGTCAGGAGGCTTCCTAGAGAGGGCAACCAAGAGCACTGTCACCGGAAGGCGACTAGGAGGACTGGACCAACTATCGGGGGAATGGCTTTCGAGCGCAGTATGTCTGCGACTGAACTGCTGTTCTGCTCGCGCGGGACAGAACGAGAAGGGGACCAGGCTCATGATATACCAACACAGTTTCACGCTCGCAATGAGCCGTCTAAAGAGAGACCGATGGGCTAATGCAGCCATACCAATTACCCTCTTCTCCCCTTGTCCGAATCCAAGCCCGCTTCGAGCCACGCGGATATGATGGATGCGTCGTCCGTCCTCCTTCACGGCCATCCGCACGATCTGCCCCTTATCGGGCCCAAAAAGGAATCAACAAGCCAACCAGCACGAAAAGCACCTGACGTCTTCAAAAAGCAAAAGAATGGACGATCTGGGAATCGAACCCAGGACCTACCGCATGCTAAGCGATCATTATAACACTAAACCAATCGCCCATGGTATGATCTAGCCCGGACTTGAACCGGAGACCTTCAGTGTGGCAGACGAGAGAGATTGAGGCTCTCGAACTGTTAGACTGACGTGATAACCAACTACACCACCAGACCAGGTATTGTTGAAGATCCACGGGGACCAGGATGAATATGAACGAACGGGAAAGGGAATCGACTTGCGTTGCCGTGAACGGGGCGCGAGAAGCGAGGGTTTGGAGTGCAAAATCTGCTGGTTGCAGGTGAGGGTTTTGATGACCGCCAATCAGAGATCTGCGCTAAGGGGGGTTTTGAAATTGCAGTCTCCGCGCTGGTCGGACGCCGTGGCGGGACTAATGGGGCCGGGGCAACTTGCCGGAAAGGGACCCGCAGACGCTCCGCGAGTCTTCCGCAAGTCTCCCGCATGTCTTCCGCAGAGTTGACCTTGTGTTTACAGGCCATGGACTCATTGTCGAGAACGTAGTGAAGATCTATGGCTTGTTCTGGGAGCACGCTCTCGTATCGTCTACCGTGCTGGGCATGAACAAAGCAACATGAAAGGATCGGCCACTTGACTAGTGCTTACCGTTGCTGCTGGCTGGGTTACGTGGCGGACATAGCCATAACGTTATATAACGTTGACATTCTATCGCCAATCTCCCAGCCTCGCCTCCGATTCATCATGCTTTGATCAAGACCGGGATCTGCCTATATCAAAGTCTTGCCCTGATGAGATCTTGATACTTGATACCGATACAGCTCATCCTTCTACAACAATAGGAAGATAGTGTACATAGTGTTCTCTGCGGAGAGAGATCTCGCCCTAGACGCCATGGCACCAACCACAGTCCTCATCACCGGTGCAAACAGAGGCCTAGGCCAAGGCCTTCTCCAGCGCTATCTCGCCCTCCCAAACCACACCGTGATCGCAGGCAACCGCGACCCGAACCACGCAACATCGCAAGCCCTCAATGACCTACACAAAGCCGACGGAAGCAAGCTCATCGTCGTCAAGATCGATGCCACCGTCGAGAAGGATGCCCACGACGCCGTGAAGGAGCTACAGGAAGCCCACGGAATCACCCACCTCGACATCGTCATCGCCAACGCCGGCATCTCGTACGCATTGCCGACAGTCGCTGACCTCAAGATCTCCGACCTCCAGGCGCACATGGAGCCCAACGTCTATGGTGTCGTCGCGCTATATCAGGCTACGCGACCGCTGCTGCGCAAGTCGTCCAAGGAACCCATGTTTGTGCCGATGGGTTCGACTGCTGGATGCATAGAGTGAGTTACATATTGCCTCTCGCATAGGTCAATTGAGATAAAGGCATTAGCACAAGGTCAGCTGACATCGTTCCAAAAGAAACCAACCTCCCATCCCGAACGCCGCCTACGGCCCCTCCAAGGCCGTGGTAAATTGGCTCACGGTTAGAATGAATGCAGAAGAAGACTGGCTCAATGCCTGGGTACTGATCCCCGGCTGGGTCCAGACCGACCTCGGCAACGCTGGTGCTCGGGGTCTGGGTCTGGAGAAGGCACACATTGGCGTTGATGAGTCGTGCGATGGCATGATGGGGGTTCTTGCTGCGGCGAGCAAGGAAAAGTATGGTGGCAAGATGGTGGCGTATAATGGCAACTTTCCTGCGTGGTAGGTAGTTAGTTCAGGTCTGTTTATCTGTGAATGCTCCCGTTCGAAATAGTGGCTTTGGATTGAAAATTTGGCCCCGTGGTATTCATTTACCTGGTGTAACGTGAAGTTGTCTGGAATCAGGACTGATTATGTATGTTAGTCAACGTCAGGGGCTGGACAGGGAGACAGTCGCATCTAGATGTCGTAAGCATCCCTCCCTTGTCTGGGACGCAACCGCATAATCTTCCATGTCGCTACTTCTCGGCTACCAACACATTCCTCGGCCCGCGACTGCCACGCAACGTCAACCCTAAATTCCTCATTCGGCCCGTACTGGAATTGTGTGTAACGGCATGAAGCTCGACAGCCCCTTGGCCCCTAAGCTAGACGCCCGAGACAACAAAATGCTTAGCTTCTACTTACCCTTCAGCCTCATGATCATAGAGGCCACTGTCTCAACCTCAACGTCGTACGGCATATCTGAGCGAAACGAGATATCTCATCGCCCTGGGACTCGGTATCGAAGTGCCGTGAGCGCTTCCCTTCAAGCATCAACCTCATTTCCTTCCCACATGTGCCAAGACGAGCTTTGGAATTTTGGAATTCGTGATCACGCCAATTGACCTATGGCCTCCGCAAGCAACCGGGGCCGATCTTCTCGGATTATTGCAGTGTTCATTTAGCGGAGATATTCATGGCTTCAAAGGACTGTCTCGGGCCGGGCACGCGTCTGCTCAACACCAGTAACCCACCTCACGAGAGGAATGATGGGTAATGGCTCAACGGCATGATGGCGCCTATGGAAGTATTCAGCCTCTTTGCTCTGTGGCCTGTTGGAAATTCCCAGCACAATCTCGGCCCTCTGCAATGTTCACATATGTCTGGATGGACCAAATAACTGGAACCTCGCAGATCTTGCTGAGCTCTCTTCATCCTATTTCTTGGCCCACATCTCTCTCTCTCTCTTTCCACCTTGGTCACCAACCCTCACCAGTCAAGTTGGGCATCCACTCTTTCATTCTGCTGGAGGCTTTTTTCACTCGCTTACACACTCTCTGTCTGTCTCTAAGCTTACGGAAAGTGCAACGTCGACACAATGGCCTGGACCAAACACGCGGCCGTGTTCGCGGCCTTGGCTCTCGGTGCCAATGCTCAGGCGCCGACCAATACCCCTATCCCGGCGAACATTGGATTTGTTCTGAGTGTGCAACCCCCTGCCGCCGTGTCGAACACCACTAGCCTGCCGACCTCCGCGATCACCGGGATCTCGTCCACACCGACGGCGTCTCTCAGCGTCACCCTCAGCAGCAGCAGCATCCTCTCGCAGCCGACCACTGCAATCTCGAGCAGCGGATCTTCGTCGGTGCTCTCGTCTGGGTCTCCCAGCGGAAGCAGCACTCCCAGCGCTTCCTCGTCTTTCACGACCTTCGGTACAAGCAACTTGAACCCGCCGCAGCCGAGCTCCACGCTCACAAGCTCCGCTCCGACTGTCGTCACGCCGGGTAGTTCCACCACTTCCCCTATCCTTTCGAGCAGCAGCACTTTCAACTTTGGGAACAGCAGCACTGCTAGAACGACTCCCTCCTCGACCAGCAGCGTCTTGAGCACACCTACCACGACCATCAGCGTTGGCGGCAGCAGCAGCAGTGGTAGCAGCAGTGCTCCTAGCTCGAGCAGTACCAGCACCGCAACCTCTGCTCCGACAAGCACTACAACCGGCAGTACCAGCACTGGTAGCTCGAGCATCGCCAGCACTACTTCCAGCAGCAGTTCATCGATCACATCCTCAGCTTCCTCTACTGATAGTTCCACTTCGACTTCCTCGACTTCCTCGACGTCCAGCGATTCCTCAAGCTCGAGTAGCTCCTCCACCTCCAGCAGTTCTTCAAGTTCGAGCACCTCTATAACCATCACTTCGACCAGTTCTAGCAGCTCTAGCAGCTCCAGTAGCACCAGTGTGAGTAGCACCCCCCCGATGTAGCCTCATGCGACATACACCATGCTGAGTTGTCTTCAGTCTACCTCCTCCTCGACACTCTCTTCTTACATCTCGTCCCCGTCTGGTCCTTGTGCTATTAATACCGCCGCTTTCGTATTCCAAGCCTCAGGTACAGGAGACGTCAACGTAGACGGCAAGTGGGCCGCGCTGTCGCCGGCCTTTGGATCAGGCTACAGGCTCCGTTTTGATACCACCAGACAACTGGCGCAACAGTTTAGACTCCAGCCCGACTGCGCGCTCACCACTGCTGACGGTACTTTCGTGGCCATGGTTGGCGGCACCGCGAATCTCCATTTTCAGTACTTCTTTCAGTCCACCGCCATCGCCTCTTCTCTGGTCAATGTCAATTTTGAAGCCGACGTGTGCCAGAGGAATGCCGACAACACACTCACCTGCACAGCCATGGGTCAAAGCATTTTCCAAGTCACGCCAGGTGACCCTTCTCTCCAATTGGGCGACGAGAATTATGGGGAGGTGGTCACGATCAGCATGATTACCGTACCAGGAACCATCTTCCGCTGAAGTGGTGGCACGTTGGGGGTTGGAACTTTGGGGATATCACTAATAAATAGCTTTTGAGACAAATCTAATAGTCGCATCTCTTTATGAGTTGCTCTCCTTTCCCGTATATCCCGTCTTTGTCTCTCCCAAGTCCCATATGCCATCGCATATCCAATGCCCATCTTCTTTTGTCCACAAAAAGTCTGGTATCCTGTCGAATCTAGCGTCGTACCGGTCCGATACCCCCATCCAGAACCAAAAGTCATCCCACTTCATCGACATGGGCCGCTGCATCTCCGGTCCAGAGTGGTACACTGGCGGCGCGTCCCTGATTCCTTGCTCGTCGAAGCAGTCCGCCACCTTGAACCATAAGCTCTCATCCTTGAGTTGATGAATGGCAATGGCATCGTTACCAACCAGCGCGTGCTGAATGGCATCCGGATGCGTCTTTTTTCTAGCCCACGCCGTGCCGTCGTGCCGTGCGTCTTTATTGTCGTAGTCGAACTTTTCTGAGCCCCTAAAGTTTACAAAATTGGCCTTCTCGTGACCCTTGAGCATGAGAGTCGCTATGGCCATGTCTTCGCCCGTCACCACGTGATGCTTGTACTGAAGATTCGCCAGCAACTCGACCATATCCCATGTGACGGTGTACATGGCGCCGTGCGGGAAGACGAGATCCCAGTACTTTGAGTAGTAGAGCTCTCCAATGACAGTCTTCTGGACTGTGCTCTTCATGAGCCTACTGGCACTGTCAGTCGAAAGTCTCGGTGACAGGAAACGATCCCAGAATCCTCGTGCGTTGAGCCATAAGTCGGTGTCCATCTTCGACACAAACTCGTACTGGACGTTGTGATTAACGAGCCACTTGTAGAACTCGAGCGTCTTGATGGTGTTGGCAGTGATGTCGTCCTCGGCAATAGTATCCAGCACAATCATGTCTCCAAAGGTGCGGTTCTCGTTGGCCACAACCTCCATCCACTGTGGCCCAGGATTTGATACCACGAAGCGTCCGTCAAAGGGGGCATCGCTAAAGATCTTCATCCACGTGGATCGTATGAGCATCCGACGTTCAACATCTGATGCCGTTGAGATGACTGCTGCCAGCCAGGGGTTCGGTAGTATGCTGTCATCTGTGCTGTTTGAACCTGTTGGTTGAGGAGAATACGGGAAAGGTAAAAGATCGTATGATGGCTCCGGAAGCCCGTCTACCGGATTTCCATGAACGATAGGCTTCGTGATCGGGGCTTTGAACGGCTCGTGGTGAGTTGATCGTTGGGTATCATGAGTAAGGTGAAAAGTAACGCCGAGAAACAAGATGAAACAGATTGCAAAAACACGAAAGAACCTCCTCTGGATACATCGACTCAACGATGTCCATATTACCATGGCCATGGACGAGCATGAGGCTACGGAAGCCATGTTCTCTATCTCACACTCTCTCTTTCAGTTGCGCGAACGCAAGCGGTTCTGCAAAAGCCACAGCAAGTAGGGGAAGAAATCTGGGATGAGTAGAGCTGTCAGAAGAAAGAGGGAAGAGAGTTCAGAAGTTGAGACGAGCTGGGGTGGACGGGAAGTAACCCCAAACCCCCCTGATACACGATATTGCAGACAAGATTTTGTAAACCCTCTCTGCAACTATATCGGGCGAAAAGTCACGTAGGAACGGTTACGGCTGCCTGCTCAGCGCTGGGGGTCAGCCGCCACCGCCATGCTGGGGTGGTGCGGTCACATCCCGAAGACACAAGCCCACAGGAAGGCAGGCAGAGATTATTTGGTTGGCTCGTGAGGACTCCTTCATCAGATGGTAATCGTGGTAGTGGAGGGTATGCGCAGGCCAACCTGCGCTGCGGGCTTCTGTATGAATCAGACGCGCCGCGGGCATTCGGTTCTGTACGTGATCTGCATTTCCTCCAATACTTTTCTCTTTCTCTTTCCTTTGATTTTTGCTCTGTGTGTCTGTGCTGTCCCGTAATGCCATGGCTTTTCCACCCCGGGGTTTGCGAGGGTGATGTACCTAGTTGATGGAGACAACACTTTTTCCCGCCTATATGCAGATCTCCATCATCCTTGTTCCTTCGTTCGGGAATATGAAGCCACGCGACATGTTGCCTCTCAGTCGTCGGGCGTTCCTTCGCGCCATGCACTGCCTGTTTCCGCAGCGGAGGCGCTGCCTTGGCGGACCGTCCAATCAGCCTCATCAATACCAAAGTCCCTCATTTTGGGTTCCGGAGAGATGAACTTGCGAAACATCTATCAGCTGCCAAACTTACAATCTTGCCAGTGAACCAACGGATTCTGGAAGTAGACTTTTCGTTATCGGCTTCGAAAGATTCTGCCAGATGCAATTTAGTTTGCGTATAATATCACTCCGTTAGTCTCTATATTACTGATTGGTAGCCGTAAATGGAGTACTACAAGCGGGCGATTATTCTATCACCCGAGTGGGTAGTGGCTCTACTAGAAAACTGTAAGCGTGCGTATAGCAGTACTTGAAGAATGAACTTTTGCAAATGTTGATGTTCGAGTTGACAACATGGACGGACCATCTACTACCAAGTGCTGACGATGTACATCAGGGGCGACCCTAAAGTCCCAAATTGGAAAACCCACGTAGATGCCACGGGACTCTCGAGTATAAGTGAGATCCTCGAGGCTGAGAGCAGAGAAGCAATACTGTTGTGACACATGGCTAGCCCGGCTAAAGTAGAGTCACCTTGGCTGTCGCCCGACTGCGGTGTGTCCAGCGGGCATGCATTTGGAAAAGGCAAGTCAAATTAGTCGCCGAAAACACAAAAAGGCGAATCCACAGACAATATGTAATATCTACCCGCGAAGCGAGAACGTACCAAATCATGGATCACCGTTTTTGGGGCCTTTACCAGTGCCCGCCCCTATCTAATGACCTTGTCTTCTAAAGTAGCTTACAGGGCCAAGCTCAGCCAAGCTACGGATACAACAATCAACATCATCAGCCCCATTCTCACCCGTTTCCTGCAGGCAATAAGAAATGACCGGCTACAGCCGACGTGCGATAGCCAATCTAATTTCACTATACGGTTCATTGATGTAGACTACAACACGCCGCGTGATGCCCGACGCTGAGCCGCCGCCCGACGTTACACTGTGGCTGCAAAACGGAACCGGGCAAGGCTCTCACCGGCTGGCTTGTGCAGACTATTCAAATTTCTAGACAGCCAAAGGAAAATCTGCCTCTAAATGGCCAAGATCTGCGATTTCATCGGCACTTGAGGCCTTTTGAGTGTCCTTCAAGTTGGTTCCTTATTTACAGCTTGGAGCAGATGGCGAGCGAGCACTACGTGGAGGCAATTACTTCATCCAATAATTCAATTAACATCCAAGGAAGGCTTAAACAGCGGGGAGAGGATTCAATCGTTGCATACTGCAAATTTTTCTCAAGGCCGTTGGCGTACTAGCAGGGCTGTGAATCCAGGCAGCAGAATTATTCTCGTTTTGGTAGGACGAGCCTCAACATAGGGGGGGGGGGGGTGGAGAGGCGCGAAAGGGTGTTTAATGCCAGGATAAATGGAACCCAATTGTACAAAGTTGCTAAGATTCACCGGAGTCCTATCTTCTTCCAAATTCGCGAGGTAGTCTCATTTACGTGCGGAGTTAGACTAAGTTTTGCAATCAATCTTAGTCTAATTCATGGATAGTACTGATGCCTGCCATCAGGCGGACTGACTTCATTCTGATTCGCTCACCGTTACTGATTACTTATCTGTAGTGAAGAACACGACTCCCTGTCGCTAATTCTATTTCTGTCAGTAATCATAGATGGGTATGTGACGATGATTGCAAGTTGAACATTTCATTCTTTAGCTGCTTCGTATCAAGGTCTCCTTCCGTCTCGTGTTCATCTTCAAATTCTCTCTCTCTCTCTCTCTCTCTCTCTCTCTCTCTTCCGATGACTTAATTAGGAGCGTTGTTCACATTCAACGAAAGCCTCTCGCTTGAGCTCATGGAAATATTCCCAACTAGGAGACAGGGTCGCTCACTCAATGTATCTGTATCGCGGGCTCGTCACTCGCCGCCCTCGCAATAGCTTCCCTGTGAGTGTAGTTATGATCTGATATGATGGAGAGCCAGAGCTTCTCGAGTGCCCGTGTGTCCCGAGGGAATGGCATTGACAATGTGAATGTACCAAGCGGCCTGTTCTCACATGCGTCCCATCTTCCAACATGGCATTGTCAGCATTGGGCATCACGTAGCGCTAACTGAACCACGATGGCACTTACTACGAGGGAATCCAACTGGGCCATTTCAAATTCCATGGTACTAGGTGAGAAATGACATTGATATAGAAAACCGGCCTTTATACGTCGGTCTGAAGCGCCGTTCACCTGACGTTCTCATACTGCTCAACATCACGACTATGAAAGTTGAGGAATTGAGGGCAATCTCATCGCGACATGAAAATGGAGAAGGAACACCAACTGAGACTTCATATCACTTCACAAATCATGAAAAGTCGTGAAGATCAATGAGACTGTTGGGTGAGAGCGGCTGAAATAAAGTTGCAAGACCCATCTACTTCATTTTAGTGCGCGACCGGTGCGCCGTTGCAGTTGACGCCGCGGAGCAGGGGTTCCGGGCGGGGGAAAGCACGCCAGAGCGTAGCGGCATGACATCACCAAAAACGACGCCCGCGGCTTTTCCCTCCCTGCGGAAACCGAAGCCGGCGGGGGGGGCGGCAACAACGGCACAATTCTTCAACACGTTTGTCTTCGCATCAATCGTCGCAAAGAAGAAACGCTCAACCAAACAATTCTTCAACAGCAGCAAACTTGCTTGCGCCTGGCTTCTGCTGCCTGCCGCAATCTCAACTGTTTCATTCAGTGTTCATCCACTGTATCGCAATTCGTCTCGAGGACGCGCAACGTCGTACCCGTCACCCGCAATGGCGGGCTCCCTTGCAAGCAAATTCCTGGCCGCGGTGGCTGTCTGCGGCACCGTTGTTGCCGCTGCTCCGACGAGCCAAGATCAATTCGTTCTCAGGCCTGCTGCTGATCTGACTCGCGTCCACGAAGAGTACGTGTCTCTCGTCGGCTCCGCGCCCTACTCATATGCGCCTTTGACAGCTCGCTGACCTGCAAACTACAGGCTGGACAAAGCCAAGGTCATCCCTACCGTCTTGGATGACTTTGAGCCTATCATCGGTGTCGCGGCCGAGTGGTCCTCTTCCAATGTCGCCGATCTCGGGAACACCCTGAAGCCTGCCGATCTCCAGTCGGCGCCTATTGTTGCCATTGTCAGCGGCTCGTCAATGACCAGCGTCATTGCCACGACATACGTCCTGACTCTCACCGACCCGGACGCGCCTACTCGTAGCAACCCCATCTGGTCCGAGTTCTGCCACTGGATCGCTGTCAGCAGCTCCCCGACCATCTCCTCCGGCATCGAGCCGGCGGATCTGGACGAGGTCATCGAGTACAAGCCGCCAGGACCTCCGCCCAAGACTGGCAAGCACCGTTACGTCTTCACGGCCTGGGTGCCGGCCAACGGAACCAAGGAGAAGCTGGAACTCTCGAAGCCGGCGGAGCGCAAGCATTGGGGAGGCCAGGAGGGGCGCGGGGTCCAGAAGTGGGCCAAGGAGAATGGCCTCGTTGCTGTCGGTGAGTCGATGTCCAAGCACATAGCTCAAGTCAAGGAAAGAAGACTGATTGCGACCCAGGTGCCAACTTCATTTATGCTCAAAACGAAAAGCAGTGATATACACAAGTGACGCTATATTTTGATGTCGGCCCAACGTGACCCTAATGCTGAGGGAGTGAAACCGCAAAAATCAGAATGGGTTCGTAATCACCACCACGGGAAACTCCGTTATGCGAGGATATAGCTATTAATACAGATTGAATTATTGCTACTTTGAGCAATCAATCATACGTCAAACAAGTCTCAACCTGAACCAATGCAGGGACAATCATGGACGGAAAATACGAAGTATACACGCGTGCGCACTACCGACTGACATTGTGCCACGTAAGAAACCCACCTACCAAGGAAATGTTCACAGCCACCCCGAACTCCTCTATCAACACACACATGTATCGACCAACGCAACAAATGAAGCCGCGACCCACGTTCGCGAAGTAATGATGACCTGCGATAATATCAGTTGCTAGTCTAGGAGGAACAGGGCAAATGCTGATTCTCACCATGTACAAGTCGCTCGAATGTGCTCTTCGTTGGTACGACTATCGACCGCCCAGGAACACAAGATCTTGATATTCGGCGCCGAGGTCTTCTCTCTGAAGGTCCTCAAGCCTCGTGACGATCATCGTGACCGCGCTTGGTTGATGCCGGACCTGGCCCCTGTCGACAATCCAGGAAACTGAGTGGGCAGGCCTGCTTCAGCCCATCTCGGACTTCTCAATGCGCCCATGGGATAAGGCGTTGATAAGGTACGAGATTCAATGAGCAACTGCGGCACTATCTCAGTCTTGGCCTTGATCTGGTAATCGGACTGACCTCGATGACAATGCTGCTTCAAGTCCGGGTAGCCTCGAAGGGCATCCTTGATTGTCTTCTCCCTATGACAGGTGGAGGTTTGTCTAAAGGTCTGCACAAGGACTAAGCTTTCCGTGCCTGGGTGATGTGGCTGTTTGCTTGAGTACGTCCGTCGACTATTCGGGCAAATCACACCTGTTAGATATCTGGTTCAGCGTGAAGGTATCGCTCGAGCGTTGGTGAGGATTTTCATACTTACTTTTGAGGAATGGCAGCAGATGCTGGAAGACAGCGTCGATCGCCAGTCAGGTATAGCAACACTGCTCGCGGCTGCCTTCGCGTTCCCTGACGCTTTTTCCTCTGCGGTGTCAGCTCAACCAAGACCTCTGACACTATCAATCGGCCTGGTCGGCAATACGGCGTCTTTTCGTCCGCGGGCCAAAGTCCTCGCCCGCATTTTCCTCGACTTCGTCCGACCTCTTCCGAACGACAGGAGGAGGCGAGATACTTAGGGTGCGGCTTCTCAAGCCCAACCCCGAGCTCCCACTCGCATGGCTGCCGCTCTCGCCGATATCCTCAACCTTGTTCTTGAAGATGGACGGCTCTGCCTGCTGCCTGAAATCCACAGGAAGGTCAGGAACTTGACTGTCATCTTTCACGTCTGGGAAAGACGACTCTGGCCCTCGCTTCTGTCCCGCCTGATGAGTAGCTGGATCATCAGGAGGATCAGTGACAGTGTTGGCCACCTTCTTCACCTTTACCTCCAGGCGTTCCCGCCTTTTTAGCTCCCTCTTTCTCTTAGACTGGCCAGTGAAGGAACACACTTCTGACATACGCATGCAGACTTGACAGGGGCCAGTTTCCTTCCGAATACATACATATGTTTGCTTCTGGCATTTTCTGCACTTTGGATCCTGCGCCGTCCCTTCTTTCGCGGTCGTGTCGGCACGTTTGTGCTCCTTCCACGTCTTCTCGGCAATCATGTTGCCGTTGGGACCATGCCTCTCTACACAATAGCTGCAGGTGCAGCGTACCTTCTCGTTCTCTTTCTTTGGCTTCGACTTCTGGTTGACGACTGCCACGACCGCTGGTTGTGCGGTAACTTGGGCAGACGCAGGAGCGGGAGTCGCAGCTGAGGCTAGAGCTGGAGCCGCAGCTGCAGCTGGAACCAAGACTAAAGCCGCACGTTGCTTCGGCGCCGAGATCGAGGATTGTGCACTGCTTTGAGGCGTGCTCAAATCCTGCGTACGCCTCTTGATTGGGCCATCCGGGAGTAGCTTTCGTCCCCTGGCATTCAGTCTGGGCATTGCTGGGGGCGGATGCGTCACCGAGGGCTCAGGCATCGTCGACGGCCCAGGGATTTTCGAGGGCCCAGGCGCCGACAACTCAGGACTCGGAGGTGCCTGCAATAGTGAGCCCCCAACCGGGGCCGGGGACGTGACCGGAACTATGACCGGATTAAATTCCCGCTTGGGCAACACCGGCGACATGTCGGTGTTCATGATATCCTCTATTGGGCACTTTGGTTCCCAGGTCCGTTCGAAGCGTCTTGGCCCACCTTCTACCTGTTGCTTCTGCTGCTGAGCAGGGGCAGTGGCAACAAGAATCGGTGCCATCTCTCTTCGTGTCGGCTCCGTCTCGTTATGATACTCAACGTGGAATATTGTGGTGACAGTGAGATCTGGTGAGTGGATGAGTTGGTTGGTTGACTGCTGAATATGAGAAGAGAAAGGGGAAAATACCGTGTAGGGACTCTTATCAATGAGTTCCAGACGGGGATGGAGAAATGTACAGCTTTCTGTGCCTGTCCTGCCCGGGCGAACACAACTCTGTTTCTTATATTCTAAGAAAATCTGCCCGGAGATAGCTGGGCTTGGTGTCTTCTACAAAAATTGACCTTAGCTACCTCTGTAGCCTTTCTCCGGTACGTGTGTGTATGTGTATGTGATATCAAGCGTCGAAAGCGGTTGTCAACCTCTTTAGTCTTTCTCCGATACTCTCGTTGGGAAAGTGAAGATTACAAGTTTCTCAGATAACTACCTCTCTATCCTTTCTCCGATGGGTGATCGAATATTACAGTTCGTCCGCAGAGAGCTCCAGCAAGCTCGCCTCACCGAGACTGCCGAGACGCTTTAGGGCGAGCATGCTCTAGGCTAAAGCGTCGGTTAGTCGTCTCTGTGACATAGTATTATGCGACACACAAGATTCCCAGCGAGTAAAATGGCTTCATATTAAATTTCATTACAAGCAGACGTAGTTATTATAAAATATGGGATATGCAAGATATTACTGTGTTTTTGTGTTGGATTTCTATGGAAAACAAGTGCGAAATACGGCTGCAGGACCGTGGCGAGTAACGATCTCACAAGTCCTACTTTACATGAACAATATGTTCAGATACCATCTTCATATACCGCCTCCCCGATACCATCCAATCCTAAGATGGTTCTAGGTCTAGGAATCCTGTGAGTCCTGAACTCTTCCTTTTCCGGGGGGAGAACCGCATGGTTCACTCGAAGACGACTCCCCTCTCTCGCCAGCTGTGGCGCCACTTGAAGACGGACTCTCACCAATGGTCCGAGAACCATCATCGCTGGAGCTACGCTCGCGACCACTGGAAGCAGGCGGCTCGCCAGCCTTGTCTCGAGCAGGAGGGCTACTAGGCGACTGTTGCGCAGCTGGAGAGGTCTTCTTGCTGGCCCTCGTGCGCGCCTTCTTGTTCGGAGGTTCCACAACCTCCAATACCTCCTCCGCCTCGTCCGTGTCCTTATCCCGGGCAGGGCCCCCAGTCTTCTTCTGCTGCCGCTTCGCTTTATCCTGATCTCTCTTCCTTCCCTTCCCGGGGACTGGATTCAAGGAGCATCGCTCCTTCAACTTCATACACCTTGAGCAGACTTTGCCTCCGCTATAGAAGCATTCATCTCCCTTGTTATTTTGGAGACAACGATCGCAAGGAACGGCGGGCTTCATGCCTTTATTCCTTTCCTTGTCAGAGCGACTATGCTCCTTCTTCGTCTTGGCGCACTGCTCGATCCCCTCGGGGTTGCTTTCCACGCACTTGGAGCATTTACAGATCTCCCTTTCGCCACTAGTGGCCTTTGACTGCGGTTTCTTGTCCGCCGGTGTGGCAGCGTTGGTCCGCGTATTGTTGTTCGCGGCTGCTGTAGGTTTCGTCGGCATCTTCTTTCTCGCGACTAGGGCGGCTTTTCCTTCAGCTGCTGGTTCGACCGCTGGCGGCGAGGGCACTTTTTTATTTTCATTGTTGACCTCTTGATTCTGTTGCTTTTTGGGCCTGCTCGTTGGCAACGGGCGCCGAGGTGCTGGGCGTGAACCGTTGCTGCTACCCGCCTCTTGACTTTGTTGGATGGCGGGTCTATTGATAGCAGTGAAGCCACGAACGCGCTCGGGTACGGGACTTGGAGACTTTTCCCGAGAAAGAGCTCGACTACCTATAGTGATTGCTGGCGTTGCAGAAGCCAGCGGTTCAGGAGACGGATCCTGAGTTGGCGAGGTCGAGCTGATAAGACCGACGCCGCGAGCCACGCGCTCCTCGTCCTTTTTCGATTTATACATCGCCGCCAATGCCTCTACGGCAATGTTTCTGAGCCTTTCTTCTTCTCCCTCCGCAAACACGGGCATGAAGGTGACAGAAACAGCCATTTATCTGAGTTTGGACTGTTATAGTGTTAGCTGGGACTGAATGGGTACTAGGCAGACAGTCATAGGAGAGCAAATGGGATGAAGTCTCACAATATGGTTTGGATGAAAACCCGAATACTCACAGAATATCGAGGATAAGGGTGAGGGAATTGTCAAGGTGGAAGGAAACATATCGTTCTGGCTCTTTATATAGACACATGGCACCTGCTACAGATATTGACTTACTAGGCAATGGAGATAGGTTCATGAAAGCTGGGACGGGTATATAATTGGCGTACCATTAAGTTCATCGCGGGTTCGGTACGCAATGAGGTAAACGGAAATAGCCCTCAACGGAGAAAGCTCTTAACCCAGCGCGCCCGCAAGCAATAATCCATGGGATATTGATACTAGACAAAACCCTTCAGACTCATTCCCAACCCCTGCTTTACTCCCATGAACATAACTCCTTGTACCGGGTGCACTCTGAGCAAGCCTTGTAATTCTCTGGCCATTGATAGCATTTGCGCCTATCAATCTCTCGGCATCTTCTGCATTCGCCCCGTGGCTTTTCTAGCATGTTGTGTCTCTCAATCTTGTCGGCTGATAGATGTGCTCGTATGGTCTCTCTGGTTTTCGGCTTGCCTTGACCATGGCATCTCAAACAAGGGCACTTCCGTATTCTGCCCCCTTCCCTTCTGTCCGACTTTGCGTCTTTCGAAGGAGACTCGTCAATGATATCATCGTCCAACATGCTGTAGCTCGAAGAGGCTGGAGTGACGATGTCGGACATTTCAATGTCGGTGGTCTCGCCGGGAGATGTCTCGTTGTCAGGAGTCTCAGCGCCGGTGGCCTCCTCAGTTCGAGCGGCGTTGCTTGAACTCATTGAGCTTGATATACTATCTGCTGACTCGATCTCTCTTGAACGGGAGATCTTGGATGAGACTGACTTTGGCGCAGTGTTTCTCGGTGCATCATCAGTGAAAGCTTGAATTTTCGAAGCAGAATCGTAGACGGTGTCATTAGCCGAAGTGGCCTGTTGTAGATTGTCGGATGGACCATCGATTGTTGTAGCACCATCCGCTCCCTCTATTTTCGCTCGTATCTCTTGGTCATGGTCGTCGAATAGTTTGTCTAGGTCTTCAAAAGCCACGCTGGGAGTTTCTGGATGCGGTGGAGACATTTGGTGAGCAAGCCCCTCTTCCACGGACATGCCTTGATCGCCTGCAGACATATCCTCGTCCGTATGGAATTCTAAACCATCTCCGTCCGTGGGCTGGGGATCAAACGGATCGTCCAGATGTGCATCGTCTGGGTGCAGATATTCCGCGTATGAGAACGATTTGTCGGCCCCGGACATTGTTGGGCAGTTGTGTGGCAATCTTGCGTTTGATTAATGAGCAAGTGGGTGATGATTCTGGTAAACCTGGAGGTACCAGTTGACAATCTAATTGATTCAGAAAATACAGAAGATGATGATGTGGTCTGGTCGAAGTGCACCATTTCTTCCCACAAGCCAAAGAATGCTGTCATGTCATCAAGTGACGCTGTGCCTTCCTTTTTCTTGTGACTTAATGGTCTGGGAAAGCATTGCTGGGCTGACTGGGCACCGACGACGAGACACGCAAGTACGGCAGGAACTCAGCTACACGTAACAATGGTCACCTGCAAGAGCAGCATATAACACAGTCATAGACTTGCAGCTGCCCAAAATGAATGGAGATCATATGGAACTAAACCACTGCCTCTCATTGATATGTCTAAGGTCCTTCCTTCATTACCATGCTAGACACTTCACTGCTTTCCCTGGAAAATGACTTGGTGCCCTTTCCTCTTGCCCTAAATAAATGGACAAACATCGATGAACTGACCAAATACTCAAGAACTGAACGACAGAAGTTGCACGCTAGACTTCACTCTGACTGGCAGCTGCATATTTATCTCTTACCAAATATGCGAGGCAGAGCGTAGATGGACAGTCTTCAGTACTGACTTGGGTAAGCCAGCCCTTTGGCATGCATGAGGATCCTATCTTCTGATGATTCGGCAAGATATTTAGGTAGCCAACAACTCTGAGGAACACAACCTAGCTCTCAGAATAGAAAGCTTCTCGTAGGACGTTACACACCAGTCTATCCTCAGGCCAAAGATGTAAACATGTTGTACTTATCTCATTCAGGTGGATCGCAACCAGAGTCAGATCTCATAAATAAAGCCTGGGTATGGGCTTTCCACCTCATTGAAGTACATCTAGTATGTTCTAGAAACGAGGTATTGATCTTCAGCCCTCGCTCCAGCTAGCTAAGGCACCTTGATGACTCAATGACGGCCCACCCAGGACTCCGAACTTGAAGATTTATCTAAAGCCCTTCATTACCTACTTCACTCACAATGCGGAAAGCCTCCCTTGAGATCTTCGCTGCCCTAGGGCATCTTTTGCTCTAGGTCACCGTCCCAAGCTAACGGACGGTCGCGATCGACAGTTCCTCAACAATGATATCCGCCAAGCTCCTGATGATGTCGTCGTTCTCCAGCTTGTCGCCTCTGCCTTCAAGTGAGTTCCTGTGACGCAAAGTGCTGCTGGTGAAGCGGCCGAATCCATACAAAATAGAATTCGATGAATCCATTGCCTATGGACCAGGAGTGAAGTAAATGGGCACACCCGGCGCCTCAAATTCCAAAGTGAAAACGTTGAAATTTCTAGGAGGACGGAAGTCACAAGCAAGAGTGACCGCATATTTCCGGAACAGAAGGGTCAACACACATGTGATCTCAGCAGGAGCAATACTAAGAGGGTCAGCTTTTCAGGCAAACTTGATGAGCATTTAAGGTGGCTTATTTCTGCCCCAGACACATCCTGGCTCCTTTGGAAAACGCTACTTGATATTGCTCGAGGCTTTTAGCCTTTGGCTTCAACCATCGATCTGGGTTGAAGGAGCGGGCATCAGGACCCCTCGCATCTACACTTGTGTGCAGAGTGTGCGCCGACATTGAAACGACAGTCTAAACAGAAAATTTATGTTAGAAGAGATGCGTATCACATGGCCGTAGGTCCAGTCCCCAGGAAATGACGTACACCAGGCGGAATAAGCTTGTTTGAAGGCCTTTTTCCCGTTCGAAACAACCCTGGGCAAGCGAACAGGCACTGCCGCAGTGAAGCGAATAGCTTCCTTGACACAAGCAGTCTGAGGACACTCGGTTAGCATCTAACCTTCATTGACTAAGGTGAATCCCGGATTCACGAGTAGGTTACCACCATCACCACAACGAATGCAAGGCCTTTGAGACTTACCAGGTATCTAATCTTCTCAAGCTCTAATAGAGGCGGCAAAGCATCTCTGGACGGTATAGAGGCATCCAGAGACTGGACGAGCTTTGCTTCAATGCCTGGATTGGTGAGCATTTCAACAATAGCTACTGTTACCGACACGGCAGTCGGTCGTGTCTGCTCCTGCGACAATCATGTCCACGGCTTCGGTGGCCATGTCGGAATGAGAAATACCCGTGAGCTTGTCGAAAAGAACCGGCCCTTCAGCCTGAGCTTTTCCAGATTCTCTCCATTGATCTACAGATCCAGAGGCGAAACGTGTAACCGAGAAGTGAGCAGGGCATCCAAGTTGTGTCAGTAACACTGAAAACAACATACCTTGAGGAGACTGAGGAGTTTGCCAACATCTGGTTTCATGAAGTTGATGAGTGAGGTTGAAAGACAGTTTCCAATATGACGAGCTAATGGGTAATACAGCATGGTGTGGGATCCATGAGATGCAACACTTAAAGAATCGGAAAACCAGGAGGTGAAGTTGTGTTCGTTCTCTTCGATCATGCCACCGGATCTTCCAAAGGCAAATTGCATAACGACCTTGGTCGTCAAGGCTCTATCAATCTTAGCATTATTAATAGGGACACATTCTTTCCGGAATCACAGGAACGGCAAATAGCGATTGAGCTCACCGCATGGCAGGCTAAATGTCGATGTCCCCCTCTTTCAGCAGACGCTGTATCTTGTGGTCCAGCGCTGTCAACTTTTGACGGATGACTGGCTCAAGCTTCAGAGCCCCCTCTCGTGAGAAAGAAGTACTCATCATCTGACGCCGCGTCTTGTGCTTTGCAGGGTGCAATGTGCGTCCGTCGAATCCGCGCATTCATGAGACGTTTGTAGCCACTCGGAAACGGTCGTTTGTAAAGAGTGACCATTAATTGCACCAAGCATCTCGCTTGTGCCCGAAATACACCAACTGACCAGATCACTGGCTTCAGCAACAGTTGGTTTGGCAGGAGGCTCGTTGCTAATTACGGCGGAGGAGTCGGAAAGGCCTGGCTCGGATGGGGGCTGCCGTGGCGTGTCAACCAGTGTACACGAACCTAAGGTTTTGCCAGCAAGCAAGCGAACGTTCTGAAGAAGGGCGAGGAGAGAAGAGTCGCGGCAGAACGTGAGGTTTAGGTCGACATCTTGCATTGGCAACCGCGGTTGGGCACGCGGATGGTGAGGCGAGCGTCCGTCGGCAGAAGTAAGGGGGTCCACCGCACCCAAGGTCGAGGTAATGTGTCCTTGGGCTGGTTGAAGCCGCGAGGGAGAGGAACTCTCGGAGTGGAAGGGACTCAAATGGCTAGAAGACTCTTCGAAACGTCGAGACAACCGTCGTTGGGCAACAACTCTCGCGTAGCTGCATCCGGCCTAAAGCTTCCGCGAGACGGATCTTCCGCAGGGCTGCTGACCATCGCACCGCTCTTTGCGCGCTTTGCAATTACCACATGCCTTGACGCACCGCTGCCGTTGACTGGGTGGCACCTTCGCAGTTGGCATGTCTCTTTGTAAAGCTTCACGATCGTGTTCGGGTTTGGTAAACTAGCAGTTAAAGGAGACAGCACTTCGGTGTGTACCACGTTTGGCGGAGGATCATGCGGAAGGGCGGGGCTGGTAATACTTAGCTGCAGCTGCGCATGGAGGAATAGAGAGTCCGGTTCGGAGAGATCTGATCGTAGCGCGGAGAGTACGGCAGAGTTATCGCCGATTGTCCGCATACATGTAGGTAGGTATAAGACGGAGATCGGCCCCGGACAAGACCGAGAAGTTCCGTGGAAGGGACGCCAGAAGTCGAGCTGTCTTAGCGACATGGGCTATCAGATTGATCGACCTGTAGCTTCAACTTAACCATAATTGAAGTTCGGCCGAATACAGGCATGACAGAGCAGCGGGTTACTTGCGGACAGACGGAGCAGAGATATTCTTGGGGATGATTCCGCTAATCTAAAGTAATGTGACGCGATCTTAAGTCCGGACCACAGGTGTAGTGGTTGATCATGATTAAGTCCGCGAGGTAGAAGCTGAAAAGCCAACCACCATTAAGTCCGTCCGGCGATATTGTAAAGGCTCACGACCCCACATGCCGTTCGCCGCAGCAAGGAACAGATCTTACGATCCTAGCGCGCGCTGCATAAGCCCTCTCAACACTCCATCGCTTCAAATCAGAGGGATTACTTTACCAATCAACCCCGCGAATACGGAATAAGGTTTAACAATAGAACCGCATGAGCACCTAGCTAGAGTGGTAGTTCCGCGTACTGCTTTACAGACCCTGAGGATGTGATCTTGGTCCCAGTCTACCACTTAGTAGTTAGCACGGTTCAAAATCGGTACAGTGCAGTGCTCACATAACACTGCGTGCTCAACCAGATCATCGTGTAAGACCTTGTAGGGTCTGGGTTCACGGGAATCTATGAGTACGGAGGAGCAGCGCGCGAGAGCTACGATACCAAGGCATTGTTCCGTATATTGAGATTGTCCCTGCTGGAAGGTGCCATTCGGCATTGCATTACTAGAAATGGTGAAGCACAAAGGGCGGAGCTGGAGCGTTACGAAGACCGAGCATTAAAAATACTAGTCATTGGACGGCTTCGTGCGTTACATTAGCTTCACGCTAAGATGACTACTCCAGGGGAGTAAGGAAGAGCAGACAAACTTATGATGATGAAAACTTGAATCTCGTTGTAGTAGACGCGGGCTACAAACAAGGAGATTTGCACACAACCAATACCTAAGTTGCCCTCCCTGGAAGGGGGCAAAGTGTGTAGAGTGACTGGTACACTCCAGTGGGCCTGACGTTTTTACGGCGCGGCGTCACCAGATTGCTGCCCAGCGTAAACGTGTAGTGTTGGACAGGGGACAACGATCCTTTGCTAGTTCAACCTTCTGATTTTGTATACAGGGTCGTGTCGGCACCGCGGCGAGTTCAGATCCCGCTGACGTGAACGAGAAGATAATGTGATGGCTAATGGACTGGTTGATTAAGTGAGGAAAGAATCAAGGTGAACGTCAAGGCATACTGAATTCACTGCTTCGCGATGTTTATAAAGTGTGCGGTATTCCCTCGTTGCTTCACTTGCTCAAATTACTGGAGCAAAATCAGCTAAACTACATTCTTTCAAACAGCAGAACATCATGGTTCGACTTCTTACCCCTATCACACTCTTTGCAGTGCTCCTCGTCAGCAACACGGCTGCACACCGAGGCGATCATCATTCAGACATATCCCATCTGGAGCGAGAACGAGCCTTCCATAGGCGTGCAGCTGAAGCTGGGGCTGTAAAGATGGGCCGTTGTGCCGACACCTTGGAAACCGTCAGAAAAAGCGGCATTAAGCGACGCACTACAACCTTGGAGCGCCTACGACAAGAAAGGGGCTTCGCATCCTCGGCCGGGATTCAGCCTCGTAACAAAGAGGAGGTGGCTTACTATGACTCTCTCAACCATAACCTTACGTCTGTTGTCAAGAGCGGATCCTACGAAGAGTTGTTTGGTTCCAATGCCTCTTGCGTACTGGGTCGGGCTGAGACGATCGGTCCATACTACGTCGAGGGCGAACTCATTCGCAGCAACATCACCGAAGACCAGATCGGTATTCCGATGCACATGGAGTTGCAGTTCGTGGACGTCAACACTTGCAAGCCAGTTCCCGCTCTGTTCATCGACATCTGGGGTGCCAATGCAACGGGCGGCTACTCTGGAGCTGAATCACCCGCTGGCATCAGCGGATTCGGCGGTCTCAACTCCACCTTCTTGCGAGGCATTCAGATCACGGACGAACACGGTGTGGCTAGTTTCGATCTTATTGTACCTGGACACTACTATCCTCGCGCTACTCATACACATATAGTAGCATGGGGAAATGTTACGACATTCGCCAATGTAAGTCCACTAACGATATGTGTCATGTTTCCTTCCTTTTCTGCTTAGCATCGCCTGGATACCGCGAAATTGATCGGCATTTTCAAGAGGCTAACAACTTCAAGGGCACAATCGCCGGTGGTCTCGCAACGGACGACACATTTATCCGTTACGTGGGACAGCTCTACTACGAGCAGAAGCTTCGTGATGCTGTTGACCCCATCTGGCCTTACAACACCAACACCGATAAGGATAACTTCAAGAACGTGGACGATTACATTCTGGCCGAAAACAAGACGCTCAATGGCAATACGGCCGGTGACTTGGGGGCTTACGATCCTTTCGTCAAGTATGCATACTTCACGGATGATCTAACGGACGGGATCTTCGCCTGGCACACCATCGGTGTGGACATGGGCGACAACTTCAATGGAGGCTTCCAAGCGGCCTCCAAGTACGAAGAAGACGGTGGAAGGGCCCTTAATGCCTGGGGTGATGGTACCATCAACCCTTACCCAGCTGTGGTGCCACCCAAGGGGATAGTCTCAACTACTGCGGCCAGTAGCAGCGCTACAGGACTGTGACAATCCATAGTGCATCGATAGCAGCGAAGGGAGCCATGCAACAGCGTTGAGACTGCAGTTGGTGCTCACTAAGCACGCCATGATCGACTTTGTTGAGGCGGTCAAGTAGCCATCGGATGGTGCTGCGAAGCTAGCGAATCTCTAATGCATATGCGTTATGTAAACTCTTACTTCTCCAAGGCAGTGAGGGTAGAGGCTGAGACTTGCGGTCTCGAGGCCATTGAGAATAAGTCATATCTTCCTACTGTACCGTTATTACAGCCCAACAAGCTTGAAGAGTCAGGCGCTACAACATCAAAGTATGATCAAGCCTATACAAAAACGTTCATTCTTCCCACCCAAGTACTCCCTCAAGGCCCTGATGACCTCTCCTCACTATTGTCCAACAGTGAGCCACTAACTTCCGCGCCTTTCGCACTTCGTGAGGGGAATGCAACAGTCGTGTTCTCCAGCCGATCAGGTAGCGGGTCTTCGCCGCCAGTATCCTGAAGCTCGACGTACTCGGACAAGCGGATGTTGAAGGCGAGGCGCAGAATCGTCGAGAACTTGCTGCTGTATGAAGAGCCTGTAACCACTGCAGCCTAAGTACCGATGGTGATAGACAAGATAGTGATTCCCACAGCAACCCCATAAGCTATCCATAAGGGGGCGACTGGGTAAGTGTAGATGTTCTAGTACACTTCCGTCTCTATTTTGGCTTGGATTGGCTCGGTAGGACTGCCCAATGTTGTCAGCTAATAGCCTCCAGGCCTGATTTCGACTGCATTGTGTATTCCACAGCTCACACAGCACACAACTTGCTTCAATTCAGCTTGCGACACAAGACTCAAGGTGGTGTTGAGAAACATATTTTCCAGCAACCTCGGAATTTCGTGGCCGGCCTCTGGTTGATTGCTAAACTGATTCCCGAAGAACATTAAGTCTTTTGCCAAATTTCTTATGCCCACCTGCGTCTGAATTATCCGCGGAGCACCTTGAATATTGCGATTGATAAGGGCACTTCCAATTAGCATGGATGAAAATACATCTATGACCGCTTGGAAGGGAACTCCGACGCCTTTCTTGAACGTTTTGGTCGGCATGGTACCAACATTCTGAGGCCAAGGTTCACTGGGCTCATTCGCTATCGTTATGGTGCTAATCTCCTGAGCTCCGGATCAATATGAGAACTCTGTTTGGTATGAAGCACTATACAGCGTACATTTCGTGAACGAATCAAGAACCAACATGTTGGAGTCAGACAACCCATCGTCGTTGTTTTCGACAACGTATAAGGATATTGGAGCATCTCGGGGCCCAGAAACCGCGTCCCTGGTGGAATCCTTTTTGTCCGGCCAAAATGATGAAAGGTCTGTAGTTGATTCCGGCATCCAGGATATGTACCGATAACAATAAGCATCGGAACAGCGTTCAGTTGCTGATTTGGTGACATTGATGCGCAGCTCGTCATCTGCATCCAGAGCAGAGCATCGGATGTCTGGGCCCTCGAAATCCAGATTCCAACTGGCGTTGCCGTAGATAGAGGCCATCGGGATGATCGTGCCTGATATAAGTGAGCTGATCACTGCTCTTCTAACTCCATCACTTGGCCCTGAGTAGGTTGTGGTACGTGTACCATCTGTGAGCCGTGCAAAAGCCTCACTGGTGAAGCTGATGCTCAAGTGCGAGTGAAGGGATTGCAGCAAGCCCCTCTTATCTTTTCGGGTCCAGATGGGGTTGAGGCGGCGAGGATGCGCTTGGTTCCTACACATGCATGTTGGCAGTAAGCCTGTACAAAAGGCCCCTGAGCCGGTCGTCAAGCGGCAGTGTACCCATGCAAGGCCTTGTTGGTTCGACCTGGAGGCTGCGCACAGTAGGGCAAGTCGAAGAAACAAGAGATAGCATTTTACTTGAAGAGGAAAGGTGTCTCGTTAAGAGCAGACGAGGCGTGAGAGAAAGAGTGAGGGCAATGTAGAGGTAGAGCAGAAAAGAGAGGGGGGCGACGGCGCGGTGTTGAGCGAGGATGGACTTGCAGTTATTTTAGTAATGGAGAGAAAGCCAAACATTCGATTCCATACGGCCGTTTTAGTCAACTAATCCAAATGGCAGAAAATCTCGACTTTTCCAATGGGTGCGGTCGTACATGGTAGCTGAGGGCATTCCCAGTGCAAATGCTGGGATGGTCAAAGAGTTGAATGCCCATGGCTTCGTATGCGCCTTACTGCCAAGAGGGTCTCTCTTTTCAAGTTTTGATGCTTCTGGATACATTACAAATTCCATTATAAAATCATACACAGCCTTGCATTTGAATATTCGCAGTCATGTCAAAGACGTGATCAACACGAGATGCGCCGTGGTCCAGGCATAGCCGGGATGCGCCGATACCCAAACGGGCATGTTTATGCGGACCACCGGGCCCGGAACCCCGCACCGATCATCGTCCGCATTGACTTGCCATATCGCCTTGAGTGGGGGAGACGAGATTCCTACCGAGGGACAAGCACTCTCGTCCACCACAACCCCCGGATGCTGTGATATCTACATTACTCGAATTCGTGAGGGACGTTGGATAACATAACACAGCAGATTGACATGAATGCGAGACTGGAGAACTCTTCATCTGGTGTCTGACGTCAACAGCAACCTCACAAATCCCCCCGCAGCTATCAATCCCGAATCTAACTCAACGTTCCCATTTGTCTTTTCCTCATCGCTTTCATATTCGTTCAAGGACGTAAGTCAAATCTGAGCTCAAGTCCGAGGATAATATAATACAATCCACTCGTTCGTCCGTATCAATCATGGACGAGAGAGCCCGTATTCCCGTTACCCTCCCAGTCCCGAACCCAACGCCCAGCTATTGGCACTCGCCGCTCTCCCGTCTCTCAACCTACAACTCCAGCCCATCACCACCCTCAGAGACCGATACTTTGATCATAGGAAGTGGCATCACTGGCGCGGCCACAGCGCACTTCCTCCTTTCCTCAAAAGATGGATCGGCTTCGCCCCCGGACATCACCATGCTTGAGGCTCGCACCCTTACCTCAGGTGCAACGGGTCGCAATGGCGGCCATACCAAAGCCGCATCCTACCGATCATTCCTTCATCACGCCGAGACACTTGGGACTGAAGCAGCTTGTCTCATTGCCCGTCTCGAACTCGCAAACATCCGAGCGGTTCACGCCTTTGCCGCGTCACATCTCAAAGACAAGGAGACGGAGAGCAGACCCTGCCAGACCGTCGACGCGATATACGACGAGGCGCAGTGGGAAGCTGCCAAGAAGGCCATAGAGGCGATGACAAAAACCATGCCAGACGACGACGCCTCAAAGTACGAATTCTATGACGTTGAGGAGATGAAGACCCGGTTTCACGTTGCAAAAGAAGGGCTATATGGAGGCATCGGATACGAAGCCGGAAGCATCTCGGGATACCGCTTCACCACCGACGTGCTGGAGTTATGCGTCGACAAAGGCATGAAGCTCTTCACAGAGACACCGGCACTAAGCGTCAAGAAAGTTCAACATGGTGTCTCCACGGACAACCACCGCTGGATAGTCGAGACACCAAAAGGACAAATCAAGGCCCGCCGCGTCATACTCGCAACAAACGGCTACACCGCATCCCTCCACCCACGCTTCCAAGAAGCCATCGTCCCAATGAGAGGCCAAATCACTGCTCTCCGCCCGGGCTCCAACATGCCAAAGGCGGGCCTCGCGACAACCTACAGCTTCATCTACGAGGCCGGCTACGAGTACATGATCCCCAAACCGGCAGGCACGCAGTTCGCCGGCGATATTGTCATCGGCGGCGGCCTAGTCCGCGCTCCCGACCAAGGGCTAGGCGAGTACGGTACGACGGATGACTCGCGGCTGAACCCCGTCATCAGCGCGTACCTGCGCGAGACGACACCGCGCTATTTCGGCGACGATTGGGGCGACGATGACCCCGAGGGCGAGGGCGGCGGCAGGGTGCGCGCCGAGTGGACGGGCATCATGGGCTTCAGCCCCGACGGGTTCCCATTCGTGGGCGAGGTGCCGGGCGAGGAAGGACTGTGGGTTTGCGCGAGTTTTCAGGGACACGGTATGGTGTTTTGCTGGATGTGCGCGAGAGCGTTGGCGGTCATGCTCGAAGGGAGGGACTGCAGCGCGGAGGAGAAGGAGAACGGGGAGGAGAGCAAGGCGGAGGAGGCGGAGAAGCAGCTTGGCAGCTGGTTTCCCGACGCATTTATAATTACATCTGCACGCCTCTCGCAAAGATTCGGAGGGAGAGTGAATCACTCGACGGCTGGATCCGCTGATCAGACATAAAATAGAGACATAGAAGCACAGAAGGCATGGAAGTGTCGAGACATGAGACTCGAGAGTCACTCGCAAACGCCCACCTGACGCCGTAGCGGGCTGGCTTGACTTGGCTTCCTTGCTTTCTCGTTGCGGCTGGAATAGAGTTCGACCGCGCCAGTCAAGGCCGCTTAGCTTAACCATCCCCTCGGATTTTATCGTATGAGCCCGTTCTAGCGGTCAAAGAAAGAACAGGTATGCCAGGGAGGAGGAAAGGGGAAATGGCGTCTCGTCCGGCTTCCCACGGCCGTATGTAGGCAAGTACGTACGCATAAGCAAATGATGTTGTTGTTGTCTTGTTTGCTCTAGCCGGCGTCGGGAAACACGATCACGAGGTGCATGGCCATACCTACATGTCACACACCCATGGGATGGGTCACTGCCAGGACATGGCTGGATGGAATACGACTGTGGCAGATTATCGTGACGGTTTGTGGAGGTTCTCCTTCAGCCGGCCACGTTCCTATTCGGTGTTATTTCTTGTGTTGCAATGAACAAGTCAGGATACCATTGCGTCCAAAAGATTCACTCACGCCAGGTTCCAAGTCGCGCGCGTAATTGCGGCCGTTTAATGTCATCTGCATGTCGCACAATGCGCGGAACCAGCAAACATTCTGACCAAAAACCCCACCTGGATGGCGGCACGCCTCCACAACTCGGAATGGAGGCACTAAGGTCATTACACTACGGGATACGTACGAAGTAGGTCCCGCCATGTTCGTCCGTCTCTGCTTGAATGGAGTCATCCCAATCGAGCGGCACAAGCGGGAAGAGTCTCGCCAGTGCGTTGGCACGGTACTGCTCGCCTCGGGATCGCTTGCAGGTGCAGGTCCAAGGGGGACCACTCGGTTGGAAACAATAACCCACTCGGGGAAAGGGGTCGCGATGAATGAATGGATGTTGAGGGCAGCGAGACGCAGAGATGGAAGGCCAGACCCGAGAGGCAGAGCTGTGGCGTTTTTGGTGTGCCGTCCTGTTGGATAAAAAGGACTGGACGGCACTTCAGCCATCATCCGTTAGGTCGGTGGATAGCGTACCCTACGTCCGGTTAATGTGAGAAAGAGATGACAGGCAGCACAGCTTATGACGGGAAGCTGCTGTCTGAACGAACCATCCCCGAGAGACCAAGCCTATGATGGAGATGCTTCTGCGAGGAGAGCAGAGCCTGAGAACGTGTATGCCCGCCTTGGGTCGATGTCATTTGCAATATCGTGGGGGGAGCAGCTTCGATCCAGAAAGTTGTCGGAGTGGAACGGCTGGCCGAGAGCCACCGTACACACACATCGAATACGACTCTGAGAAGCAGCCATGGCCTCATTTCCTACTCGATGCGTACGTCCACCAAGATGATCGTGAGGAAACCCCCGCTCGACCATAAGTTTTGAGGCGGGTGCTTAGTGCGGTCCTGGGCATCGTGGGTGTGCAACTTGTGCGCACTGCGCGGGCGCGGCAGCACGGAAAGACGAGAAGAACGACAGGGGTAACTTTGACAAACACTTTGCCGGCCGGCTTCCATTGCCCAGCACCAGATGCTGGACAGACCCCAGCCAGCCAGGACCACAGCTGTACGGACGGATATGCGATCCACCGTTCTGGAGACCTTTGACAGGCTGCGAAACCCGAAGGATTCAAGCAGCCAAGCCGTCCGTTGATATGAGAGAGAAAGCAGCACACACACACGCGCACACACAAACACACATACACAACAATCTGCAGACAGCCTACAGGTAACCCGACAGAGGGGATAGTGGCCCGTAACTGCAGGCACGAGACAAGGAACCACCCAATAGCCCTTCGATTGGGACCGCGCGCACACACGTCGCCAAATGCGGTGAGCGTCGAAGAGGTATCCGTAGAAAGAGATGCAGTTACTATGCGCCTCTGCGGCATGATGTCGGGACCGGGCGTTGCTCAGCGCGAGAGCGAGGGCAATGCCATGAGTGAGGCTTGGGAATAGCCAACGTTGATCTTGTCTCGCCTGTGGTTTGAGTCATGTCTACATGGTGCGCGCATATACGTAGGCTGAGCCCGTTTGTAGCTTGACGTGCGTTTGTCACAAGCATCGCGGTTCCCCCCTTCCGTCGTCATGCTGTGCATTTGCTCATGTTCCGAGGATAAGGGTCTGGTAAGATTTGTAAAGTTCGGGAGAGAGATCCCTCGGCCCAAAAACTCCTTGGTAGTGCCCGATGATTCCGAAGATCTTCATTGCGCCAATTTGGGTTGATTTGCTAGTGGCGTTTTGGAACCTGTTGGACCAGAGGGGTTAAAGAGGTTGCAGCTCGGCTGAGCATGGAGACATGTATGTCCTTACGTGTCTGTAAGCTTGTGCCAGACAGGTATGATGGCTGTGTCGTCGGGTCATCAAACTTTGTGGGATAAGCACGCAAAAGAGCCTATCTGGTAACGAAATCGGGTGGCATGCGGTCAGAGCAGAGTAAACCGCGTGCGCTTCCGCTTGTACGGCCGAAATATCGTGTTGCCCTAATATGCTGTAATGTAAATGGTATCGCAATTGGTGCGAGACCATTCCGATGGTTTTTAGTACATATGGTAATGGTAATGTTCAGTAATCGGTATTCAGCGTTCGAGGCTGTCTAGCACGTATGGGTGTGAGACGGCGGCTGCGATGTTTGACCGCCTTAGTCGTGGTTATTAGGAGAAAACGCAGTGTTAGACCCGGTAGTGGTTGGCGATCGACAGTCAAAGTCCAGGCCAAAAAGCAATGGCTTCAGATCGTCGCGTCCAATGCCATGGAACTTGCTCGGGACCCCGGCTCACGGGCGGTGACTAGCACGTAGTTCCATCTCAGAGGTCCCCTTGGACGAGCACATTTTGTCTCTTTGGATTCGAGGGGAAGGGAGGGGGGCTGAGACTAAGCAGCTAAGGTAGCTTAGGCCTTTTGTTTCGCCTGGGATGGGATTCCAAAGAAAAGATGGCTTTGCTAATTACACATTGTCGACCACGTTGTGACATGCCACGGCCATGCTCTACGAATCAAGATCCGCGATGGCGACAAGAGATGAGTTGACACAATGGGGGCGCAAATTAGGGCCAAAGTAGCGCAACTGACTCTGATCCTCCCTACTGCGGGAGAGAGAGAGGCTTAGGCTGAACCACGGACCAGCAGGCACGAGTCGAAAAGCTGCGGACGCCCGGGACGCTAAGAGATCATATGAACCTCACAGTTGGATTAGAGCGTCGCAGCTTGCCATCCATCTCAATACCGTCTGGTCCTGACTTGATTTGGCTGTCTGGGTCATCTCATGATTTCCAGTCTCTTGTCCCATCCAGGGTGGATAGGAGAGTTGATCTGAAGCCGACGGTGCGAAGGCAAAAATGTGAAATGAGCTGACGGAGATCTGCAGTGGTCGTTATTCCCGGTGCTAGCAAGACGACCGAACGCCCGTTCGCTCCGGACGGTAAGTAGATGCTGAGGATCGGGTGGGCGAAGAAGACGGGACCGAAATGATATGCCCTGGAGGGGAAACAGGGACGAATCGCGAGAGTCGCGGAGTTTGCCTTGGCGGCACCCAGACGCAACAGCGGCCGGCGGTCAAGCCGGGGACTTACAGTTGCAACAACTGCCATTGGGTCGACGCCATATTAGACGAGACGAGACGATGTCGCCCTGTGTCGGCCGATGAACGGGATGTCGATGTGAGTGACAACAGATGGGTAAAGACGGGGGTTGTTGTTGGTCATGGGGATGGCTCCGTTTGGGATCCGGGAGGTCGCATCCGAGCGTGGTATTCAACGGGTTGTAATAATGCAATGGAATGGCAATCGCTTGCATGGCGCGGGAAGTCACGACGTGTAATATCAAAGCTACTTGCATGGATGGATAGGATGGTATAGCCATGATCGCTTTCCGTACTCCGGTTTGTATCAGTACTAGAGAGAGAACTCTGAACTTTGAAGTATCAAATTTTGCGTGGGCCCTGGATGCAGTACGCCAGGTGTAGATAGGAAAAGGATTGGACTATTGGAGAAACGACCACTCACCTGAAAGGCTAGAACGATGCGACTGCCGACTGCCGAGTGACGAGCGGCGTAGAGGCATGCGATCTTCGCTGCAAAGGAAGGACTTTTGGTTGGAAAGAAACACAATCGAAGCCCCCTCCATGGACTTTGCCGCTTACCAATGCCAGCATTCTATCGGATGCATGAAGTCGCTGAGTTATTGAATTCAGATTCCTTGGTTGTGAGGAGCTTGCAAAGTCTCTGGTTTCACAATAGAATACGTCTGACCATAACTAATGCTGAGCAAGTCTTTGAGGGATAAATCAGCTCCTCCTCTCGTAAACGTCAACATCTCCCAGCCAGTGAATTACAGAATACATGCGGATCCGATAGACTCGGAGAGAGTGACCTCGATGGGCCGGCCCCCCTTCTCCCAAGAAAAGCTTCCTCCCGAGTCCCGGCCCAGCGTGCCATTCCTCTGGGAACATCCACAATGATGGCTGGGGCCCCTAGCTGCCCTGTTGTCCGTTGAAGGCGTGCAGACCAAGTACTCTGTATTCGTAAAGTTGCAGCGCTTTATCCGTCTCATGTCCCTTTCCGTCTAGGGGGTGTCTAGCAGTACTAACAGTGGGCAAAGGGGAAAGAGGATCCAAGGAACAGGGAGTGAAAGGGGTGTTGGGATACCAGGCTGTGACATTTCCTCCATGAGAGAGAAACATGGATAACGTCAAGGAGAAGGAAGCAGAGTCAAGTACTGTCCATGTACCCGTCTGCTCTCTTCTCGACCTCGGCATGCCCCCTTTGAGTATCCCACCAAAACCCATTCGATTTCTCGACCCTCCCTGTACCGCCAAGAAGGACAATCTGGGTCTCAGCCCCCACAGAAGGGACAAGTTCAAATCCCGAAATCTAAAGTCCCACTCTTTCTTTGGGTAGTGTGTTCTTCCGGCGCTCACTTTGCACCTGTTCTCCGTACCTCTCTCTGTACGGTAGGTATCCGTACGCACACACACACTCGTAACGGACGGGATATGCTCTAGTGCAGATTGAAGTCTCTTTAAACGTGCTGGGTCTCGTGTTTTTCTCCGAACGTAACCTCCATGTGGCGGGTGACTATCAGGTCATACTTGAGTTACGGGCTGTCAGGTTTGACGCATGCTTTGTGTGGAACGTTAAGATGAGGGGGAGAATTCCACAGAGCAGAGGAAAGGCCACCCAAGCAAAACCTGGGCTTCCCAGAATCTTCGTGGCTAGAGAAAAGCTTCATATTTACTTTTTTTCTCCTCTCTCCAGTCGAATCGACGGATTGAGCTCGATGCAGGACAAACGGACCAGACAGCGACGCTTCTTCCCTCCACCCTCTCTGACCGTAACCGCTGCTGCAAGGTTTTTTGTGAGATCTGACAAAGACTTGAGCAATTGTGGGCAGCGCTCTGCTGGATTGGGAGGAGGAGGGGAAGACCCAAGCAGCGTCGACGAGGAGGGGCAGCCCGGGTCCGGGAGCATGGACATGGGTTTCTCGTCAACGACTGCCAGTGACCACTTCTCGGGAGCCAAGACCTCCAAACCTTGCCCTGCTCTGCTCATCGGTATGCTTGAACTGTGCCATTGTAGCATCCGTCAAGCGTCAACGCTGTCAGCATGTACCTCTGAAAGCAACCCTGGAAGAGTCAGAAGTGAGGCTTTCCTCACACTGCGCGAATGATTGATCACTGAGCGGCCTTCCTTTACCATGGTAGTGCGGACTTTGCGCCCGTTTGATGGACGACGGAAAGTATGGATGGTCCTTGCTGGTGGACTTGGTCACGGACATAGGACTGTGACACTGACAGCTGAGTGAAAGGCCGCCAAGTTGTCGAAACATTTTCTTGCTTTTCTTCCTTCCCAACGGACTGGACTGCTAAGCTTCGGCACTCGGTCAATGTGTCGGGGGAAGTCGGTGGGCAGAAAAACACTGGCAGCTTTGGGCAGAGAATCCTGCCGCACGAGAAGTGGAATGATATCGATCATCTCAAGTTCGTTTGCTGTGGCCCATCCAGATTTTCGCCTATGGGTTGATGGGCTTCGTGGGGTCCAGCGATAGTGGTATGCTTCTTCTTCTTCTTCGGGACATCGCGCAATCTCGCGCAATCTCTGCGGGCCCATAGTTCAACGGATGCATCTGTGTGATCTTTTCTGGGCTCGATCTTGCTGGAGACTTCAGAGACGGGGGTCCCCATCAGAAACCGAAGAGCCGCAAAACATGACCGTCAGACGGTCGGCCATCTTGACGGTACCGACGGGTCGACGGCCCCGGCCTTCAGTTTCGACCGAGCTTCGGCGCTCTGTGCTCCGTGCTCTTTCTCCCAACTCTTGAGCTTCTTGGGTCTTGGGTCTTGAGTCTTGACTCTTGACTCTTCGTGGGGTGCTACGTTTGCCAGGAGCTCCCCTTCTCTCGGGTAGGTGGTTTGACTGTACTGTCGGCCGCTTGTTGCAGGTTCATGGCGCTTCATCCCAGCAGCTTGGTTCGAGACAGAATAGAGTTCATTGACGAGGTGTTGATCCTTTGCGGGCTCCATCGAAACCTGCCACAAGGTCGAATGGCATGGCGAAGTGAACGAAGGCCAAGACTTGGTCAGACGCGAAGGTGCCGACACTACTAGAGTGATGGGCAGGCCTTTTGACAGACGTACTGATAGCATCGCAGACCAGAAAGTCCTAGACTCGTGACATCTACCGTGATAGACTTAGAGTCGTCGAGATGATTATTGCGGAACTCTCCGTCAACTTTGATTTCCCTGCGAAAATCCTCGATTCGTCTTGGGGGCCCTGCCGGTTCCGGGCTTTGAAAATGAGCTTGTACCTGTCCAACACAAGTGGAGAATAGAAGTGGATTAGATAAGCATGCCCTGTACCATGGAAACGTCCGAGCCAAGGGCCCCAGGGAAGTGAGTGACACTGACACTGACTGGGAGTTGGGAGGGGTGAGGGCCTTGGACGAGAAGGGAGAGGAAGAGAGAGAGAGAGAGAACAGTAGTCAACAGGTGATCGATGTACCTCGACACCCGCAGGTACTTCCGCCTTGTCTTTGCCTTTGCGGCTTGCCTTGCCTGCCCGGATCCACGAGAAGGGGGGGGCAGAGAGGCGGCCAGGACGCTGCACGTTCCAGGTCGAGGTTACTCCTGGTGCTCCTCCCATCCGCAGCTCCTCCCAGTGCAGCAGAGCAGCTAAGGGTACATAGTAGAGTGTAGGCGAGGCGAGCAGGGCAGGGCACTTGCTTTGCGTCTGCTTTGCTTCTGCTGCGCTGCTGCTGCTAGAGGAACTGATGTTCCCATTCCCTTGGGTCGGCGGGCCCCCTACTCCGTACGTCTGCGCCTAGTTAAGTACACAGTAAGTACGGTACAGGAGGATGTCCTAGCCGTAGCAGCAGCAGTCCTGGGTCATCGTTGCGCAGGTTAGTCTTGAAGGACTTCCCTCCGACGATAATCCGCATAGCAAGCAGGTCGATGGACGTCCGCAGGAGAGTTCCCCATCAGCAGCTCCAGTTGCCCCTCTTCAGTACAGAACATGTCGACATTCATTGGCATCACGACTGGCCACGCCTCATCATGTGCTTCTCAGAGTCTGCCTCCGGCTCCTCTTTCCCGTTGCTATCTCGCCCTATCTCACATTCTTCTCTCTCGACTATCGGTCTACCTCCCGAGTCTTGACACTGCGCATACACGAAGCACATGCAGATTCATGTCCAGTCTCCATTATGCCACCATGTAGACGCTCCGCTCATTACGCACGCATCGTCTTGGCTCACATCCGTTTGCCTACAAGAGTAAGGATACTCTGTACTCTGTACGGATATGTACAGAGCATAGCGGCTGGCAATGGATATCTCTCCACTCGGTGAACGGCTATCTCTCAGAAACAACATGCGCTTACCGTTCCGGTTCGAAAAGGAGCCCTACTGCCGCACATCATCACCCGTTCTCATTAAGGGTTTTGACGGCTCCTGACTCGCCCATCTGCCGTGGCACCACGGCACCGCGGCCATGGTCGCAGCCCTAAGGCAAGCCACGTCTGCCAGCGCACAGCACATTGGGATTGTTTCTCGGAGCTGCACTTTGGCAACCTTACAAGGACAAGAGGACCCGGAAGTGCTCGCAAGAACCCCCCCTCTTCTTCCTCGATCTTCAAAACCTAAGAACCATTCCGGCGTTGTCTTGACTCTTGGGGTAGTACGGATGCCCTATCGCAAAAAGTCACCTTACCTTAACCCCAACGTGCCTTGCACCCCTCCACTTCAGCTACAACCTCACCGAATCCCACTTCCAGACTGTTTACACTAGTTTCCCCCCTCCATCCCCTCTTTTGAACCCTTTTCCTGTGTTCCCCTCACGATGTTCACTTTTTCTTCCCATCATCCTTTTGGTCACGGCCCATCATATCCTATCTCGTGCTGCACGAGCAGACGGACGGGAGAATCGCCGCGAAGCATGTCTTATACTGATTCAATGAGCTGATGTTGTGACGGACCATGTGCTCTCCCACATGGGGCCACGTTCGTGTCTCTTCTTCCCGTCATGCCTCCTGCCTGTCCCGCTGCTGTATTCATTGTGTATGTATGCGCTGTGCTTGTACTACATACCCAGTATAGACGCAACGGCAGGGTGATGCCAATTCTGGTGCAAAACAGACATGCTTCATCCCCCAAATCCCTGACTTGAGCCAATCATAGGTCCATCACGACGCCTTCGTTCCTCATTCCCGGGTCCCTACGTCTTCAGGTCTGACCCGACAGCTTGTTTTGAAGGATTCCTTCCCCTCCCCTCCGACGCCGATGCCCTTACCCTCCTCTCCCGCTGCCCGCACCACTGATGTGCGCAGCCACCCCACTGACAGTGGCCAGGTCTGTATGTTGTACCCTGCCTGTTTCGTTCCTTGCCCAGCCCGTCGTATCTGAATGGGAGACACTCACACACACACACACACTCACACACAAACACACACCCCAGTGGCCCCCCCCCCCCCAGGCCCCAGGGGCAGATTGATGGGCGTTAGGCACACTCGAGCAACAGTAGGCGGCTGACGAGCTAACCAAATTCGAGACAACTTGCCTATGGGTAGCTCGCTAGCTCATCAGAGCTGTCGAGACTGTCTTGTCTTGCGCAGTAAGCATGGTAAGCTCGCTTGGTGCCAAACATTGCCAAGGACAGGTTCACACACTCCTTGAGCTCTCTCTCTCTCATCTTCCTAATCATCTTCATCTTTATCGTCCTCGTGAAGCTGTAAAGTCATCAAAAAATTATAGTCATTTAGTTGTCGGGCAGCGACCATCATTAACCCTGGCCTGTAGAGAACCACAGCCCGGGTATCGAGCGGGAAAGCATTACCCGCCCCTGCAAGTATAAGTCATCCAAGCCTTGCTGTAGCATCTGAGGTAGGTATCGAAGCAGAGCAGAGCAGAGCGCAAGTGCCACTCTCCCACTTGTACCTGGGCGAAGCAATGTACATTCCCTTGACCCATCGACCCTCATGTACCTTTCCTTCCCTGCCTTAGTGTCTAGTAGGTTCACTTCCGTACTTCCTGAGAGCAAGAGTGACAGAGAGAGAGAGAGGGCCACAGCGACCCGTGCAGGGACGGGACGCGGAGCTGTAAAGACCTGGACCTTGCCAATCGTCCATACTCGAACATCCATGTTTCCTTCAAGTCTACATTCTGTTGCCTGCCTCTCTCTCTCGCACTCATTGTCCCTTGCCTTCGGACCACTGACACCAAACACATACATAATCGCTCCCTTTTCACCTTTGTTTTCACCATCGTGTTCTTCAACGTTGCCATACTGTCGGGCCCTCGAGATTCCCCACGTCATCATTTACCAGCCCAGGATTCCTTCTGCGACTTATCTTGCGACCTTGTCTCCCAGTCTTGCCTCGATCTACCGGGAGCGTTGTTGAGCTATCGATCACCTGTCAACTTGAAGGATTCGAGATACCTGCCAGGGTCGACAACCTCTTCCCCCGCACAGGGCATTCGGCGAACAACCCGATCTCACCACATTCCGTTGCGTCGAATCGTCGCTGTTCACACCCCAGCCACGACGACGACGACCGCCGAGAGCACACAAAGTCTTGTCGCGTCAGACTTGAACACCGCTCTTCTAGACGGACGCTAGTCGACGGTCGAAGTTTGCTAGACAGGTTGCAGGTTACATAGCTCTAGACGAAGCCTGAATCCCCCACCCCTGATACCAAAAGGTCATCCACAAACACCATCTCATTCTCAGCCTGTCCGCCATCCGCCGCCTTCTCTGGTACCGGGCTCCTTCGGCTACCTTGCTAGTACGTACCTTGGCGACTTTTCTTAGTCTATGGGACGACCCCCTTCTCGTTTCCCCCCAGTCGAGGAAGTCATTCAGATTTCTGAGGCACCCTCACGGGCCATGTCAAAGTTGATGCCGAGCCGTCCAAACCACCATACCCTTTCTCTCTTAACACCAAGCCTGTCCCGTCGCAAGACATGCCAGAAATCCCGAACAAACAGTTGTTGAAGTCGATCCCTGATCCCCTTACCTCCCATCCTTCCCTTCGCTGCTCGCGTCCGCGATTTATCTCGTCCCGAACAAAGCGCACGCACACCAACCCCAAATAACCCTCTTCCATTGTCTCGGGTCCCTCCTTGTCATCCGCTCCAGTGGTTTTCTATTCCTTTTTCCCCTGTCAGTATCCTCCTCTTCTCCAAGACAGGCAGCGCAAAGTTTGCTTTCCCATCATTCGTTCTCGCCTCCCCGCTTCCACACCTCCAAACAAACCGACGTTTTCGTCCAACATCTTCCCTATCCTGATTATCTCTCTATCCACAAGCGGTTCGACCGCTCCCCACGCCGCACGCCGCTTCGGGACTTTTCTGATCTGACAGTTGGAAACAGACAAGCCTGGCTGCCAATCTGGGACGTCATCGCCGGCATTTTGGTCTTGGTGGAGGGGTCCCTGGTTAGAATTTTCCATCCCTGGAAAGCTCTCTGACGTTGAGAAAGCCAAGGTTTTGGATTGGGATCGCTTCGCATTGCCAATTCGCACTGCCATCAACTTCCCGACAAGTCAGGCGCCCGTCGCCGAGGACCTTTCTCCACGCCCGACGACAGTCAAGTTCGTGTACGCTTAGGTTCGAACATTTGACTCAGGCTGGCGTCTGTCGGGTACGAAGCGCAACAAGCAGATAATTCACGTCCACAATGAATTCGCCGCCAAACTCATTACGCGAAGAACAACTGAGAGATCTCTTGGTGAAGTCCGCTCGCGGCCCGCCTTCAGACCAAGAACCCCCCGAAAAGCGGCTTAAACTCGGCGGCCCCCCTTCTCCGGCAACCTCAGGCCCGGCCGTCATGTCACCGCCCGGTTCCACCGATACAGCTATCACTGTCGGTTCTCATAATGGCGATGAGTACGACACCGAGAGCTTGACCGACAGTGTGAGAGAGCACATGTACGAGAACCGACTACGATATCACGCCTACCGCGCAGGACGTTATGCATTTCCCAACGATGCTATTGAGCAGGACCGCGACGAGATGAAGCACATCATCAGCATTGAGCTGAGTGGGAGGTACTTCTTTTCCCCTGTCGATGACCTGATGGCAAGAGGCGCCGAAGTCCTGGATCTGGGTATGTGAAAGCTTTTCATGTGAGGCACCATGGTGGTGACGTACTTGAGATCATCGTGGCAAATACCTGCCGCCACGTTATGAACGCTTTCTTCTGCAAGAATCATCACAACGTTGTTCATGATGCCCCGGCAATGAAGAGAACAACGCCAGAATCTTGCGACGTCATCACCGAGCCGTTTGTTTACATCTTAGGATATGCTGTGAATCGCAGTGAGTTAACACCATTCTTCACAGGAACTGGACCCGGTCACTGGCCTATTGAACGTAAGTTCCAAGTCCTCAAGACGCTTTCATTTGCCGTCATACGATTCACTTTCACACCGTTCTTCTCACACCATTACGATCTCGCTACGTTTATGATAAGCGGTCAAACTTACATGTGACCCCGTAGTCGCCGATATGCATCCCAACTCTACGTTTCTCGGCATCGATTTATCTCCGATTCAGCCAAGTGAAGTGCCTCCCAACTGTCACTTCATGGTCGACGATATTGAACACGAAAATGGATGGGATCTAGACGAAGAGTACTTTGATTTCATCCATCTGCGACATACCCTGCACTCCATTCGCGATCGCAACGATCTCATGCAACGCGCCTATAGGTAAACTCCTCAACTCATTTTCACATCCCCTCCTCAAGCTATCGAACAATACTACCTGAAGACAAGAGACTGAACTCTCGTAGGCACCTCAAGCCTGGTGGTTGGTTTGAAATAC